GCCTGCTGGAAATATTAAATAGGAAATCCTCCTGATGTTTCTAAACAGTGAAGGTGAAATGGTAATGTATTTGATTACTTTCTAATAGGTCTGGATTAGAGAAACGTTTTACTGATAGTCTAGCTCTGTACTTGTGGGCGATTTGATGATACTTATCTAAATCAAGTCGATAATTCTGGACTTGATGGTCATTTGTTTGTTGTTAGCTGAAGTGCCAGTGAGGTTATCGTATAAAGGATACGTCGTCTATCCGTCAAATTATTGAAAATTGTAAGCAACGGAGTACGTTCGTTGGCATACAAGGTCACAGGGGATAAATACGTTAAAAAGTATCAGAGTCTTTACATTTTGCCAATAGGTACCTGAGAGGAATGCTAGTAAACAAACTCATATAGATCACCTCGAGATCTTTCCGAGGTTACAGGGGTAAAGAGGTTAAAAACCTTTAAGATTGATCTTAGGTTCCAAAGTTTCTTCTTGAAAAATACAATAAATGAATAAAAATGCCTTGACATATTTCCAATGTCACAGGGGTCAAACAGGTTGAAAACTTAATAATATTCATCTCTTGTTCCTTATGATCAAGATTCAAGGTCACAGACATAAGTGATGATAGAAATATTTTAGAAACAGGCTTGGGGTTCAAGTTGCAAGTAGGTACCTGAGATGGAGAGCAACATATTTTCCTTAAGTAAATGACCTACTAGTTCACAGAGGTGTGCACAATATGACATATAGGTATCACTGTCATTTGAAATGTACATTGACACCTTTCAAAAGCGTTAGGAAACACATAATGATAATTTTGACATTCTTCGTTTAAAAATCGCAGCGAGAGATACAGGACCTCTTGGCCTCATGTTGTTAGAAAACACACTGATGTATCAAATAAGTAATGATACTGATTAAGCTGGACTGCAAGACCATTAAATGGTTCTTGCTGGCGTTTTGGACTATAACGCAAACCCAGGACTGGCCTACAGACATTTTTAAATCAAAGTTTAAAATCAAATGTAAATGATCTAGATATAATGATGATGGCGTTAGATCGGAAGGACAAGTAATGGTTCGTTACTTTTAACTTATGTTGATATTTCGGCCTGGAAACTAACGGATAACATGGCGCTTGACAGGAAGTCCATTTAATGTTTCGTAACTCCTGAAGAATTGTTGGTGTTTAGACTAGAAGCAAACGAAAATTGACTGCCCTAATGACGGTTCGTAGAACAGAAATTGTACTGATCAAACGTGACTGGAGGGTCTTCTATGATTATAAAAATTAATATCCGCTGTAACCAACCGATCGAAGTCACTGTACACTTAACTAATCTGGCCACTTACTGACATATGCCATATCACACAGAAAATGTTTTGTGAGAAATACATGTCTTTTTCAAACCATTCTAGGTTGTTAGGCGCCATTAGGTTGCCAGTAAGTTATAGATTTTTTTGAAAGCTGAAGTTTTAGCTTGAGCCTGGAGGTTTTTTTAAAAAAATGAATGTCTTTGTAATAGCAACGTTGTCAGACAAAATAAGACATCACTCTTCCTACTGTAGATGTACGTAATATCAGGTGTAAGTTAGTTTCACAGTCAAGGGCACTTAGATTTTACTTTAAGTATAACGTAATCATATTGGTCCAAACAAGTTCTACGTTTTATCGTAAAAGTGGAGTTAAGAAAACAGGTTCGAAACAATTCCATTTTATGTCAATATCATGTCAACGAAGATTAGCCCCAGCGCCAAATTATTATTATAAATAAGCTTTACAAACTCATCTCTTCTGGAGAACCAACAAATATTATCGAACCAATCTGATTCTATTGCGTCTGTGAAACTTTGTTAATTAGGTATTGGTGCGTTTTGCTGCCTTATTCTGCTACACGTGCATTAAAACAAATCACTCTCTCACTATATCCGTTTTCTATGGTTTCTGTATGATTATCAACGGCACTTAATTTGATTTTAAAACGTCGGTAACCACCGACTGATAAATATAAGGCTTCTTCATCTTGTTCCAACATGATTAACTCGCACAATAAAATGATTACGTAACGCGTCACTTTCAAGTTAGGAGCTGTTTGAATATAAACTTACGTCATTATCCTATTACTAACACGTCTCTATACCGATATCAGGCTACAATAGATTTTAAATATTAAGTACCAGTCATAATTGTAGACTTCTCGTTTAAGATGAAATATATTTTTCTTTTATTGTATACGTCCAAATTATTTTGACAGTTCATTGACAACAACGAACATTACTGTATTCAGAAATAATTTTATTGTATACTAATATACGTAATACTTATAGGGCTATTTATAGTTATTCGTTACACAGAGTTGTCGGTCCTTATCCTTATCTCAGAACAAGAATAATTTAAAATAAGTAATATATATATGTGTGTGTGTAATTTTGATGATTTTATACAGATTTAAGGATAAAAGTGTCGATTTATCTACAAGGATGGGCCAGACTCGTCTAGGCCATAATGAAACAACAGCAGAAAGGAAGACAAATGTGTCAGTAGAGTAGATTTCCATGAGATGAATTTAGAACCTCGTTTTAGTACATTATAATCAAACATTGTGTCGTTAATCATGTTTGTCTGGCATGTGATTTCAAACCTTTGGCATTTGTCTAGACTCGGCATTTATCGGAGAATTAACGCCGTCGATGTTGTTCCCCGGAAGTCTATAGATAATTAAATAATTTGTAAACAGCACTGACTGCGAATTGAAGGAGAAAGTCACTCTTCGGCAAAATGAATTGATCGTTCATATGAAAATCATTAGTTTGATATCTGAGGAATTATTTTGACATTTAAGGCTTGATGGATTGAAAATGTCCAAACTGGCAGTCAACCAGAAGCAGATTGAATAGTGACTTAATACTCATCCAGATAATTCTATTTTGCGTGTTGAAGTGTTGAAAATGTCCTTCTATTGCCTGTCTCTCTTCTACAGCCCCATACTGTAACAGACAGGCTTCCGATCAATTGTACTGTATACCAAGCGATAAGGGAGAGATGGCCCCACATACTTAAGTTTTACTCTCCGTTTTAGTCTGCTGTCTGATCAGGAACTATCGGGACAACATGCAATAAGTTATAGACACATCATACCACCGATCAAACATAAAGGAATGAAATGTTTTCATATCAATTGGCACAGTTCCCGAGTGGCATATGTACAACCGACCTTCCTACCCCCAACAATACCACATGCCGGTACGCATGAACATCATGGACTATATTTCATTGAATTTCGACAAGTGCTTTTTGTCATGGAAACGTTGATGTTTGGATAAGTCATAAGTCATTTTTAACGATTCTCTTTTATGTTATGATTTAGGTTTGCAGTCAAACGTGGCCAGCGACACTTGTGGAAATTTCTACATAATTACATACCTATGTAAAGTTGCGTTAATACTTGATCAACACTTCTTTTATTAGGTATAGTGACAATGCGCGATCGTTTGTGCCACCTTTCAGTATCGCAGCTGATATGAACTCCAAAGCCACTCCAAAGAAGACACTAATGTCTACTCTCCGGGCTTGTTGGTGGTATGAAGTGAAGTTCGTTAACGTACGGATAAGGTATACACACCAGATTCCCTATCAACATCCGGTCACTAGGACTGGCGAGAACAACCACAATAACAACAATGGCATGCAAATATGACAAATGAATGGCGTGAGGGAAGATACCGGAGGCCATTGTTATAAGGTCCTTGCCTCTTTTCACCGTGCCTCTCCCTTGGTGTACTCTGATTGGTCTGAAAACCACAGATATCCGTTTCATGGAACGGTATATGCAATGAAACCGCCAAAAGACGTTCAGGCGAATAGCACCTTTCACAGCTGTTCTGGTCTTGTATGACCCGTCAGAATAATCCATATATGTGCGTGAAGTGAAGGAAGCAACATAGAAAATAAATTTAATTTTAAATACAGGACAAATTAAAAAAAAAACAAAAAAATGTACATTTGATTGAATTATAACGTTGCATGCAGAGCTACAGCAAAGACAAAACATTTATTTTTTTCTGTTTTAACCAATTAAATTACCAAGTTAACTTGTCCGATGCTTAGACGTCAAGAAAATGAATAATGAAATTGTTTAAAGGCCAAGTTCCTATTACGTATAAAAGTAATGCTCTTTCCGACCCACACATTGTTCCTTTGTTTCCTGGCATAAATAATGTTACCAACTCCAATCTATCTTGTTTACACAATAAGTCGTTTCTTGCGAAATCGGAAACGTGAAGCTTTCAGGAAAATAACAAGCCTAGCAATAGCACAAACACAAGAAATAAATCCCTATCAGAACATCAGGTGCCGAAGAAGGATCTCACTTAATATAGAAACGATAGTTAAGGGGATATGGGGAACTTGATTCCCATGGAGTTGGAGGACTGGTGAGTTCGGTAAAAGTAATCTTGTAGAGAAGCACTGTAGATGTTAACTACATATTACAATATATACATGTATATAGGAGAAGCTTTTGAATTAAAGATAATTCTAAATCTCCTTTTTCTAATTTTATTCCAACTTTGATTACAGATCTTGAAGAGGCACTATCTACACATAAAGTAACACTGAGCAAGGAACGAGCTGAGGGAGACAAGATGTAACGAATTTCTACAACACTGTTTTTACCTGGAATAGAAACATGACGGAGACAAGGTTTTATGTAATCACGAAATACTATACAAAGTGACTTTGGTAAAGGTTCCATTACATAACCGAAACCTCACTGACTAAAGCATCATCAGTGCTATGTTTGCTGTTTGGTACATTTAATACCGGTTAATAACTGCAAGATGGGAGAGTTTCTTGGCATTAAATGGAATCTTTGTTCATTTTTTGTGATCGAAATGTATACCATTTACTAGTGGTGATTGACTGCAAAATAGAGAAGAGTTTCTTAGCTTTTATTGCAGTCTTGATGCATGTTTTGTGTTTTGAAATTTACAACGTAAATCTCTGACCAACTATGTCCAGCAGAGATGATTCCATGCATGGTGATCCTGACCACTCATCCACGGTGCTCCTTCCCCCGGATAGAGTGGACAGATCAGACGCTGTTCCTATGTTAACTTGTGACGCAGAAGACGATCGTGACGGAGACCGGAAGTCGGAAGGATTTCTAACTATTACCCGGAAGTACGTACCGACGATGAAGCTGCAGAAGCCAGCATGTAGCACGGTGCGCAAATTTCTGCTATTGATTGTGGGATGTGTGCTCGTCGGGCTGTCGTTAATCCTTATGGTCACCGGAACCATCAGATTCCACCAGTGCCAGAATCACAAGGTAATTCAATTTTGTCGCGTTGTGATTAATTCCACGAGGCATTCAAAAGAAAATGACACCAGTAATTGGCACTTTATAAAGACCTCGAGTCCAAATTGTGTTTAACACTGCGTTGGTGAGATATCAATGAAGATTTAGATCCATATAGTAGAATCCATCATGGTATATCAAGCAAAGTCGAGAATTTTCTAGAGCTTTTCTTCGACGGTAGAAAGGCCATGGTAAGAGTACAATTTAGCGGCGTATGTGTATTTGTTCTCATTTTGAAGTTGTATTACTTTTAAAAGTTAGGCATGTGTTAGCCATATGGTCCGTTTAGGTGATCGTACAAACGAACGTAACGCCATGCTCTTTGATTTCAAATCACAATATTGATTCATGTTTGGCACAGGTGCATCATATTGATATAAATTTAGACACTGGCTAATAGAATTGTGAGGAGTTGATGTTGTCTATGTTATTGTGTAATACACCCGTATGTTTATGGAAAAATCATTGTGATCGATATACTGAGTGAGTGTGCTTTCCATACACATATTATCTTCACGATTCTTGATTGAGATCTGTCCTGTTTTAGATTTAGACGTGTCAGTGACGCCATTTGGATTGATAACCTGTCCTTGTTTTATCAGAAACCCCGTCCCATATCTGTATACATAATTAATACCTCTATCACATCATATACCATCACCTCAATTCTGTTCTTAAGATGAAATTATTACTAAACTCTTCATTTTTATCGCGATTCCTCTTCCGTGCCATCCTGTCCTGTCGACGTTAGCTCTTCATGGACTCCGACCTTTGATCCATCCCAAAGGTTGTCCTTCCATAACTACACTGAACAGCCTGCTTAAGTATCCTTGTTTACCTCATATTCTTCATATTCTTGATACACTTAACTTTTAACAACACAAACATCAGGGACCTTCTCAAACTGAATTCACCAGGATACACTTAACTTTTAACAACTCAAACATCAGGGACCTTCTAAAACTGAATTCACCAGGATACACTTAACTTTTAACAACTCAAACATCAGGGACCTTCTAAAACTGAATTCACCAGGATACACTTAACTTTTAACAACTCAAACATCATGGACCTTCTCAAACTGAATTCACCAGGATACACTTAACTTTTAACAACTCTAAAATCAGGGACCTTCTCAAACTGAATTCACCAGGATACACTTAACTTTTAACAACTCAAACATCACGGACCTTCTCAAACTGAATTCACCAGGATACACTTAATTTTTAACAACTCAAAAATCAGGGACCTTCTCAAACTGAATTCACCTAACGCAAAGGAACATCGCTTGACAAAGAAGCAACTCTGGCTACAGACACTTCATTCACTTACTGACAAAACCAAAATATAACACAACTACGTTTTAATACTAATGAAATCCTCAATTTCACATTCTAAGGTTTAACTATGAGGACTCAAAAGAATATAAGCATCTCGTTTGGGAGGGCTGTTTCGTGGTGATCCAGAGAATGTGTCGTGTGTTATTTGTTGGTTACATATAGACTGTAGGGGCAGGGAGAATTCCAGAAGAACTGTGTGCACAATTACGTGTCTGTAGAGTATCCGAACTTCTAGACTCTTTGGCAACGCATCAGTTTACAATATATCAGCAGATCTTGCTTGTTCAGTTTCCCTTCAGCGTCCTCTGATCCGATTGGTCCAATAGCTACGCATGAAGTGAAAGCATGTTAACTTTCTTTGTAACGTTATGTTTTCTATTTAACAAACACAATTAAGTACCCCCAATAGACCATTGCCCTTCTCTTGTTACGTTGTCCATAGAAAAATAGCCGTTTCATTGTCCAAAGAAATGAGATCAAACTAAAATAAATTTGGTCAAAGCGGTGGGTACTTTGTGGGAATAAATGGATTTCCCAGTAGCAACACGCGAGTAAGTAACAGACAGTGGAAGTAATAATAATGTTAAAACGAAAGGCACATAGCCTAATAGTGGTTTATTACAAGCATGGATCAAATGAATCGCTTCTTTGTGAACAGACTAAAAAAAAAAAAAAAAAAACCGAAAGGACATGCGCGGTGTCGAAAAAGATAATGTACGATGTAAACAGAACGCAATAAGAAGTATCTATATGTACAGCAAATGTATTGGTATGTCAAACCCTATTACCCAACAAATATACCAGACTTATAGGAATCTTTGGTGTCGTGTTAGATTAATTTTATAAGCAAAAGCGTACTAAAGAAACCGAAATCCTGACTTGGCTTTTATCGGCATGAATGACCTAGCCATTTTACTTCACAGTTCAATCCAAATTATTTACATTACATTTTAACACAGGCAACCAGCTGTCTCAGAAATGGTATACAATGACGATGCCAATGACAACTGCTTTATTCTCATAAACGTTTAAATGTGAGAATACATATAAACAAGTCGTTGACAATAATACATGGCTGGACATGATAGACAGGATAAATAATGTCATTGTTATCCACAATGGATTTAGCCAATGGTACCAGCTCACGTTGTGTTACATAATTGAATAATGTATAAGAATTAATTGCACTTGGCCTTTTATAACGATACCTGGATATATTTTCTATTATTTTATATATTGACTGTCGAGTACCATTAGACAAATAATGAACTTCGTCGCCAATTTCTCTTAGATAACACAAATTACAAGATCTATTTTCTCTTGGTACATTGGACCATCTACCACATTCAATTGGTAGCTTTGTATGACATGTTCTAAATCTACAATAAGATCTGGCTAATTTTGGAGGGAGAAGAAGTAAATACTTTACTATACAAACTTCATTTTTATACATTCTGTAATTAATTCCTTTCAGGGAAGTAAAACAATAATTTCTCCAGTTTGATATGAACTCTTCTAGTTTATATAATATGGTACTCTTTAGCCGATATACACTTGAACACACTTGACTGCTGTATGTGTGTATCAAACTGCATTCGGTAATAAATATACTTTTCACATACTTTACCAATGAAAGTTCATAGTGAGATAAAATTGCTAACAGATCGTTACTGAAATAATTCTGGTCATTTTTGTCATTTTTAGCCCCAAATCCGGCCATTCTTACTTTAACATTGATATCGAGCGAGAACCTACCAAATTCTTGGTATATCATAAAATTTGAGGTAGACGTTTTAACTTTAAGTATGTGTTTGCAAAATTTTAAATGTAAATCTTCAATAAGTTCATTATTACAGAGAATCCATACTTAACATCACATATGATACGCAGAATGCAATGTTGGAAAACACACGTCGGAGCATACAACACACATCGCAAACTACGTTTTGAAATTAAACAAGCACGTCAATCAAGTAGATTTCTCACAAAGGAAAAGATTACCAAGACAACGATCTCATAAAAATTACAATAATCCTAAAACAGGTGTCACGCTAATATTCATTCATCCTGACAAAAAAATCCTTCTCGGCATCGTTACACAAATAAAAGCCAAAACTGGATACACTTTATGGCAAATTCCTTATTTTATTTTGAAAGCGTATGCTGTATATTCAATCAGAACTGTAGGATTCCTAAGTAGTTTGAAAACAAAGTAGGTTCACGTAAAGTACATGTTCATCATGTCTTTCCAAATGGGATCCACACGACATCAACCAGATTAACCAAACTGATAACATACAATACAGGGAAGCTTCCGGATTACCCACGTACTTGCAGCGTTAGTGAGATTTGTTGATGTTCGTTAGGAAGCATTGAGCATGGTAAACCTTTTACATATGTAAAAGCTTTTGTTTAAAGAGATCTTTCTATACCAGCATTATCGTGTTCATGTCTCTGGCGAAGCGACGTGTTTCTGAATGAAAGCAATTTCGCTATGATGTTACCAAAATGTCTAGTGTCGATAACGCGCTATATTTCCATTTTTTTTTTCATAATGTTGGAAAAGACTGGTTTGTCAAATCGGATATGATCATATTTAGATAAAGTTCCAAATGAGTCAATCACAATAAGATTATTTCGTTTGTTAATGTCTTTTTTTAAGAATAATAAATTTCGAACATTGAATTACATTCATTCATTTATTCAGACAGACAGACATAGTCTTGCGGTTGAAGGGTTTCGTACACATACCTAGGGTTGAGTAAGAGTATCATTTAATGAATAGATATAAATGACAGATTTGTGGAACATAGTGCTGACGATATTTCTGTTTAGCTGCCTGATGAGCTGAGACCACGTGATTCCATCGACGAAGTAATGGTTTAAAAACTCATGGGAGAACGTGCACCACACGTCCTTCATGATTTACTGGCAGCTTTGTCTCAAGAAATAGCTACTTTCTGATTTAATTGCCAGCTAGGGATAAGAGGCACATGTATTTTTCAATTTAATGTATAGATTGAAAAGTCGTTGATGGCAGGTTTTGACGACTATGCAGAGCTGTATAGCTATAATTGTCATCGATCACGAATACACAAGCTTCTCTATGTCAGAGGTGTTGTGTACTGTTAATGGTGAATATTTCACGTCAGGTAAAGGTTATAGTATAGTTAGGGTTGAGCACTTTACCTGCAGTAAGGTTAGTGGTGAATTCCTAACGTCAGGGAAAGGTTATAGTATCGTTAGGGGTGAACACGTAACCTGTAGTAAAGTTAGTGGTGGAAACCGAACGTCAGGGGAAAAGTTATAGTATAGTTAGGGGTGAACACGTAACCTGTATTAGGTTAGTTGTGAATTCCTAACGTCAGGGAAAGGTCATAGTATTGTTAGGGGTGAACACTTTACCTGCAGTTAAGTTAGTGGTGAATACCTTGGTAAAGGTTATAGTTAGTTGGGGGTGGGTACTTAATGTCAGGTGAAGGTCAAAGTATTGTTAGGGGTGAACATTTTACCTGAGGTAAAGTATTGCGGAAAATGGTCATTGATAAAAAGCTAACTGGTCCTTCTATGATATCAAACGGTCACTAGGAAGTACCTATCATTAGTTGGAAAAGTAATGCACTGTCTTTAGGAAATACATAGATAACAATAGTCAACGTCCTTAGTGAATAACGTTTATGTATCTTGATATCACTATCTTACTTTATACGTGTTTTAAGTGAAACGTAATATTTTGTATGCAAGATAATGTGTTCTTTCCATGGTGCTCATGTGTTCCCGGCCAAGTGTTAAAGTGAACTTTACTGATACTGGGAATTAGACATAAATTTACCATCACGAAATGTGTTTTGAAATATTTACCACTTGGAGGGAAATTTTAATACTGTAGAATATTAATATTTTCTATTTTTTCAGAAATCTTGCTCATAGCCATTATTTTTTATTACAGGGATCTTCCGTCTGGGATAACCAGTTCCTTGGAACTCACTTTGGTAAGTACGTGTATCGTCTGTGAACTCGGTTTGTATATCAGTATCTCCCGTCCTGTAGGGAATCTTAAGTGTGCAGGAATCGGTTCCTCCGGTAACACTTTGGTAAGAACATCAGTGGTCCCTAGTCAATTGAGGTCTGTAGTCGGTTTCAGTCACATCCTTTGAACTCATTTAGATAAATAATGACATGTATATATTGGAACATGATATTTTGCTCTCAAAAACTTGAATTTATCTTTGATGTTACTCATTGGAGAACTAAACCGTGCATCAATCACATCTTATTTAAGGGAATACAGTGTTGTTGAACTTAACGGTATCGTCTCTGGATTTGGTATATAATACTTCCGTTCTACTTTGTTTCTATGTGGTATGGGAGAAGGCCGTGCCAAACTGATTCAAATTTACACAAAATCATAAAAATAGACCACCTCCATGTGTAACCATTATTGCTTTGGTAATTTCTGATTTTAATTCTGTAGTGGACCTGGTGTCGCTCAACAATTTTGCTCTGGAGAAGGTCACCGCTCAGACATCGACCAACATTGCGGCATCTGATGGGGATTCCAAGTTTGCCGTAGATGGCGATATCAACACGTGTTCAGAAACAGGTAAATGTTCACTGCTTCAGAAATAACATACATTTCTCATGCTGGATGTTAAATGTCTTTCATGACGATGTTCAGATGTGTTGCTCAGTTTACTGAGGATGTTGTAATTGCCGACGGCTTTTCTCATTGTAGACGAGGAAATTCATCCTATCTGGGAGGTTGATCTTGGCACCGTTCGACCCGTTGGTGACGTCATGATCCACGGCCGTGTAGGATTCGGTAAAACTCGTTTTATGATACTTGATTATTAAACATTCGCCATTAAAACTTCAGATGGAATGACGACGTTTATGAGAGATTCATGAAGAAATCATATAATGACCTTTTTTTCGTTGTAGATTTCCACGATATGTTCGTGTACATCAGAAACACCAATTCCAGCGGTGATCGTCAGGTGTGCTTCAGTCATCCCGAACCGCTTAACAGTCACGTGCTCGTCACTAACTGTCGTCAGGACCTTAGTGGCAGGTATGTATGGTAGACAGTCATCATTTTCGATATTCTATATAATATTCCTTTCAACAGCAACATGTAGTCCAGAAATGGTGTTGATAGCGGAAACGTTCCTATTCCTTCAACAAATATCCGATATATTATGTCGCATTAAGTGACCAAATCGCCGCCATTTTGTTATAGATATTTTATTTGTATTTTAGATACGTAACGGTGGAAATGACTTCAAAAGACCGTACTCCTAACGTACGCCTGGTGCTGTGTGAGGTCATCATCACACAAAGGTAGTGTGTGCGCATGTGGCAATGGCGCTGAAAAACCGGATGACGTCAGAGGTGTGATTTGTGAAAAGTGTTTTTGAAAGTGTGTTCATTAATACGCACAAATTAATGCAGTTGGAACTAATTTCATTTGTATTGCCAAAATATTGACCAGGTGTTAAGTCCAGTAGAGCATTGATTAAGACACGGCAGCACTATTTGGACTGAAAGGACGCGGATGATGTGATATTACAGAGAATATAACTGAAGGACACTCATCATTAGAGAGATGGTTGTCTAAGAAATCTCTGGTTGATGTACTTTTATCGACTAGACTAGAGTGTTTAGTCCAGTTTTGTATTTTGTACGAATTAGATACGTATGCGCTGGACAATCATTTGCTGTGTATTGTTTGTATACGTCCACCATTTTGGTTGAACCATTGTTTTTTACTGTGCATACGTATTCCGCAAAAAGCACGCTTCATCAATCCTACCCCTCGCCAAGAGACAGGGTGTGTTCAGACACAGGACTGCGAGTCTCTTCCATACGGAAATTTTACCACCACAAATGGTAAACATGATCAAATTTGTCAGTATTGTGGTATGTACAATGACATTTGATGTCGGGAACAGAATGATTGGATAAAACCTAATCTAAAATATCAGCGGTTACAGGTGGAATGATGGTGTTGTGTTTGGTTAACAGCTCATTATTTTTAATCATCTTTTGAATGGGAAATAAAGCTATATTTACACAGATCATACGTCTTTATTTGTCAGGTATTACAATGATACAGTAACAATGTTTAAGTACATTGGTATACAGTAACAATGTTTAAGTACATTGGTATACAGTAACAATGTTTAAGTATATTGATATACAGTAACAATGTTTAAGTATTTTGATAAACAGTAACAATGTTTAAGTATATCAGTAGTCTGTCGGCGAAGACAGCTCTAAGTTTTGGCCGAGATATCTTAATATGCCATGGTTGTCTGTTGGTCGAGATATTTCAACATATATTGGTTTGACTTCGGAGGAGATATCCCTTGTCTGTGGGTCGAAATATCTCAATATCCCTGGTTGCCTTGGGTAGATATGTCTCAATATCCCTGGTTGTCTTGGGCCGAAATATCTCAATATCGGTGTTTTGTCTGTCGGTCGAAATATCTCAATATAGAAATGATGCGGACTTTCTTTTTATAGAGGTGTACTCTGCCCTACGTCAGACATCTTGCTACCAAAATGTCGGAAGTCTTGTGTTGTGGTCACTACAGACAACAGCTATACTTTCCCATGGGCAGGTTGACCAACGTATTTGGTATGCATCATGAGTAATTTGGTTCGCACTTTCAAATATTGCAACAATTGTCCGCCTCAGGGGAAATTGAATCATCCGATCCTCTTGTCAGGACAATATTCTGTACCGTATATCTTCTCAGTTATGCAGATAACTTAAACTATATATACGTAGTTTTGACACGGAAAACAGCATTTTACTTTATCTATCATCCAGTATGATAGTTTAAAGTAGAACAAAAATCAATTGTACACAAATACATCAAATTTTACTTCTACATCAATATATATTGAATTGCCTCTTATCGTAAATCGTCGTAAATTTACACCATGTAAAACCAAATGCATTGAATTGGTAAGCTTTACTTTTATTACTTTTATTTCAACCACCGCTTCTTGACACTGTTTATTTATTCACTTTCATTAAAAACAAAACAATAAAAAAAAATTTAACCCGCGGAAGATCAAGATCAGAACTGAGTGTCCGATCACATAGTGTTGCGCCTCCGCAGCAGAAGAGTTCCATCTTTACTTTGATGACTTTAGTAATTTCTTGGTGCCATACTATTTCTGATATATACGCCCGTTTGTTAGTGTTGCTTGCTACCATGACAACGACAATGTCGGCGGTCTATCTTGACGCTTAAACGGCCGATTTGCACAGACTTGGTCCACTCCAAGCAAATGTCGAAAATTAAACACCTAAAGTATTAAAACATTAAAGGAATGGTTGTAACAATTTTGTTGGCAATTGTACCATTTTCACGTTCACCACTGATAACAGTGGTAGACATCGAGTGCAATTGTAGAAAACTCTACCGACCGATGCTACTAACGAAAATAGCACAGAAGGCGATGGACAATCCCAGTATATTTATCAATTAAGCTCCTAAATTGATCCACTAATTGATATCTCCAACCTATTGTAACCCAAACTGTTGTTGGAATCAGAAATCTGGGATAGATCTGTTTGGGTTTCTTCATTGAGATACTTTCTGTACATAAAAGGAATTGATAATATCATTCAGCACATACCAATCCTGATGGTATATTTGAATTTTACCAATCTGGCGCACACCAACAAACCAAATTTTAGGGCTGACGAAGGGTATGTCAGGAGCAAAAATCTAGATATATATATTAATGCAGAAACACCATTATGTTGATAATAGTATAGCTGTGTGTGATATTGGTTAAAACAGCACTCAAGTAATCTTGTAAAATATCTGTGGCTTTAATGAGAATATATAATCTAAATCCAGAACACAGCTCTCTTATATCAAGATAATCTTAAGAAATTATGAAATGTTTGATTTTTTACTCACTACTTGCCTCCGAAAGGGACAATCACCGCGTATATTTGTATATGCAGACTGAATTACGATGGAAATCACACATATACAGTAGGTGATTTGTACTGTTTCTGGAAAATCCGGTTCATAAAAAGACAATAGGAGGCAAAATTATAGCTTCAGTTTGTATAGCTGTGCAGTTATACTTATCAAACGTGTAAGTTTTCGGTATCTCTCCATAACACTTATAAGAACATATAACATCTTATGAAACTCACGTCACAAAAATTATTGTGCGTGTCAATCCTAATAAATGTATAATATGTTTACATAACACAATGTATATTAAATTATTCAACAATATCACACATAAATTAAAACAATATTGACATTGTAGGGAACAATCAAGTTTATTAACCTGATTGCAAATTGCAGGTTTATTGACATTTAACAATTGAATTTTACGGTGATTAAAAATATTTCCCATTTAAATTTACATGATCTGTTAACGAGTTCTCGCGGTACGGCAGATATATATATATATAGCAAATGAAAGTTTTCTTTTCGTGAATATATTTGGCGTGCTCTATCCTGGTATGGTATGATTAGCCCGTAATGACGAGACTGTGATGGCAGATCCTGTTTATCCTGTACTCGCGAGACAACAAAGACACGCGACAAATAACATACAGAGTTGCTACGTTTGTTGATCTCAACATCACACCACGTAGATTTCGTATCGATCGAGAATGATTTCTTTAGTTTTTTTAACTGTCGATGCGGTGCACTACCAGCAGTAAAACTCATTTAGAATTTACAGGGACAGTGACACTGACGACAAGACTGATATTTTGCTATTTTCTTTGACAACGTATTGGCTTTGGAATTGGTTTCGAAAAAAATTTGAATACATCGAACTAATTTTCTTAAGATCTATAAACTGGTCGTGTTTTCGTTTCCCGTCAGTCCGCTGGGAAGGCGCCACCGTGTAGTATTTCGCCATTGGTTATTTTGCGGTTCACCATGGCAACCAATCCTGAACATACATAGGACAAAACCTAACAATTTTTTTTTGGTTTCAAGTTCTAGACAATACCTTGATATAGTGCTCTTAACTTAGAGCTCGTTTGAAATCCAGTATGGCGGTTACAGATACGTTCTTGCAAATTTATTTTTAACTTGCGATCGGATTTTATTGATTATCCTAGACTTCTATTTATATAGTATCTATACATACATGTTAGTGTTTGGTGCTGAATCTCCCCCTTTTCATCTTTGTTTTAAATATTTTCAGGTAAAATTAAGAAAACATCCTATAAAGCCAAAATTATTGTCATCTTTAAAAATTAATATTTCTGGGGTATAAATCCATTATCGCCACCTTTTTATATCACATCAAGATTTAATATGACTACGTTATAATACCAACAGGTCAGGAAATAGTAATGATGTGATTGACTTATAAGATGGCAATAAAAATGAGCCAACATACATTGACATCTATACTGTCTAAAATGGCACATATTGAGTAAACGCACAAATAATATCGTCAAATACACACTAAGTAAATTTCATATGAATATACAAGTACAGAATGAGTTCACGTGCATTGAAATACAGTGACACTTTCATATGGAACGTGTCAAAATGCAGTGATATGTATGATGACAAACAGGTAGGCTGAAAAGGCATAAAGAGAAAACGAAATTAACTTTCATGGCAATAAGGTAAACCTTTTGGCTTCAATGTCGTGTGGCTTAGGAGAAATCTGGGATCAAACCAAAGTAAAGAAATCTCGTTAGCCTTAACTTTTTAAGGAATCATATTGAAACAAAACTGTTAGATTTACGTCTTGTATTTGAGTATAAAAAATCAGGCAAATTAATGCAGCGAGAAAAATAGCATCAGTTGTCCGAATTATACAAAGGATCGTTTTCTTACATGTGATGATCGTGTGAAATTTTTCCTAAGGGTATCAGCATATCCATCTTGTAGTGTCTGTCTCCTATACAGCATTTTGGGGAATTAACGTTAATATCTAGTTGATGGACAACTAAACAGCTTAGAACTAGAACCAGGAATGTTCATTCCAAATGCTTTAAGGTTAGCCCTGATCTGACGACTATGCTGATTGGTCCAATAATTTTAAAGCAATCAGAGAAGCTGTCTCATCGATGGTAGTAATAAACAATACTCAACACCATGGTGATGCGTCGTTTGACAGAGAGCCGCTGTTCAATGACTACAATGCACAACCATTTATTAAACCTTTGATAAAAACGAAATCATATCAAGGGAAAGTGACGTACATTTCAAGGGGAAGTGACGTACATTTCAAGGGGAAGTGACGTACATATCAAGGGAAAGTGACGTACATTTCAAGGGGAAGTGACGTACATTTCAAGGGGAAGTGACGTACATATCAAGGGGAAGTGACGTACATATCAAGGGAAAGTGACGTACATTTCAAGGGGAAGTGACGTACATTTCAAGGGGAAGTGACGTACATATCAAGGGGAAGTGACGTACATATCAAGGGAAGTGACGTACATATCAAGGGAAAGTGACGTACACATCAAGGGAAGTGACGTACATATCAAGGGAAAGTGACGTACATATCAAGGGGAAGTGACGTACATATCAAGGGGAAGTGACGTAAATATCAGGGGTTCTTCCCTGCATGTTAATGATTCTTTTAAAAATCGAGGTATTCACAGAGGCTTTGAAATGTAGTTTTGAAACCAATGTGTCCTTGGAGTCCTCTTATCCCTACTCTCTGCATGCCTAAGGTGTCACAAGTAAGTTATATCATTAGTAACATGTGTGAATGTTACACAATCTACTTTAATATCATAGTAATACAAGCATAAATCTAGTGACGTTATTTCCGATGTATTCGAACCTATCTTCATATTCAAACTTTCGTATAATAGAACTTATCTAAGTTTAATGATAAAGTGATCTCTCCAATTAAATCAAAGATAGGTTAACTTAACTTGTACCTAGCTGTAATTCATTAACACGTATGGTCAATTCGTTTGATTTCAATCTTATACATTGTAGGTTTAATTTGAAGATAACTTCAAAATTGTATATATGTTGAAACGACCGTCCATATACTTCTCATGGGTCCATGATGACCTCTTACAAACCATGAAGTACGCAACCTAGTCTAGAGGCTAAATCGTCACCTTACCTGGATTGTCTGTCTACCCGAGGTTGTCATCAATCAAATATTCCAGCCACGTTAGATGGATTCGATGATTACTTTGTAAAACATGAGTACATGTTTATATCCCTACAAATAGTGTTCCCTTTACGTCATATCAACAAACGGCTTCTGAAACAGCTGTTCGGAAATACTGTGAAGTATTCCGAAAACGTTAAAAAAAAACGATTTCCGCGTTATCGATGCAGTGTGGAGAATGTGATTCAAGTGTTTTATTTCTGAGCTGTAGGTAGCGTGGGAGGAGCCTAATGTGGTTTGTTAATAGAAGGTCTACTCAGAGGTTTTGGTAAGGTAGCATGCTGACCGATATCCACGGAATCAAGATATTATCTAAAATTCTCCGACAGCATCGCCAAAGGCATCATCCTTTCAATCAGCACGAAGCATTTAGGTCAGATATGGAGTCATTTAACAAAAAGTGTTTATAGTCTGTGCGTCGGGTAAAAACGCGAAAAACAGACAAGCACAGAAAAAACGGACTGGAAAACCCGGATATAGTACATTAATGTTTATGATGACTCCTGGCGAGCTGACAATCACTTATGTTGGAGCTGTAGATGTCTTAACGACACAGATGTCACAACATCAAACACATAAATGTTGACTTTCTGTGCGGATTGAAAGTGTTCGTCATGGAGACAGGACCGACAGCTCGTGGTGTTGTGTGTATTTTATTGGAGTTGGTTTTCTTATTGACAGCTTGTACGGGACTACCTCTACCCTTAAGGAATCTTCCAAAAATAGCCAGTGTGTTACGTCAGGATGTGACAGGGGAACTCAAGACCTTGATCAGGAATTGGGAGTTAGACTTTGTCCGACGACTAGACGGACTCGCCACAGGAAAGATTCCGGAACTGTCGAGGGACACCGTCGGTGAGACAAGAATACTGTACAATATAACTCCATGTAACATATCAAAGATTAATGAATCTGGTGCTTATGTATTCCATAAAGGTGAAATTCATGACATTTTTTTCATAAATGCTCTGTAATGGAACGAATGATCAATATTCTATGATGATTTAGACAAAACAGTTTGAGAAAAAACAAAATTTCAAAACTGTCCAGTAAGTCTGTTTGAATTCGAAAGTAATGAGACACAAACTCCGGTAATTTAAAACAAAGAAATACAGAGAAGTGACATCGATGTCATTACATGGCTAAAGATGTCTAGTTACTGAAAACATCGATATCGTTGTCAGGCTAATGAGAACGCCGATATCGATGTCTAGTTACCAAGAACATCAATATCGTTGTCATGTTGAATAGGAAGCCGAAACCGTTGTCTAGGTATTAAGAATATCGGCATCGTTGCTTGGTTGTATGAGAAAGCCGATATCATAACTACGATAACAAAGGTTACCATTATATCTGGTTCCTTGAAATATCAACATACCTAGTCAGTAAGAATATCTGAAAATGAGGATTTTGACAAGACAGCTCATGAATTACAGGTAATCAGATAAAATGGTTAATGGAACTAATGGTCGATGATTCTATTCCATACTTTCAGTTTTGGCAGGCGAGTATGATACACATACATGTCCTGACTGTTAGTAAGTAGGAAGATAGATTATAAGGTTTCCTTAACACCAGACCCTTGTAATTAACTGATTACTGTCATAGGATACACGGGTAAATAACATCTAATGTTAAATTCTCATGTCATAAGAATGTTATGGCAGGTGTCTGCTGGTACGTCTGAGATCTGGCAGTGAAAAAAAACATTCTGTAGAAATCAGCCGATTGAAAATAAAGGTAAATTGTCAAAAAGCAATGTTGAGTGGACAGTGAAAAAATCATTCTGTAGAAATCAGCCGATTTTAAAAATGAAGGGAAATTGATAAACCGCAATGTTTAGTGGACAATCTCAATGTAAATACTCAAATAACGCTAGAAAGTATGGAACATATATGTATGTCTTGTTGGCAGTATGGAAATCTATTTATATCAATTACGCGATTAGGCAGAACCTTATCTCTCTAAATGGACAGAGTTTGACTGCCCAAGGGTTGCATACGATGGCTTGGTGGATGGTGTCTGTTTTCGCTGTGGTCGCGTTTTGCGGCTTGGTTGAACCGAAAGCTACCACCATAGAAAAACGTGAGTTTTAACGGACTGACTTCATTACATTTTGAAATATGTATTTACAAACAATAGCGATTAAGAACAGTTGCAAACGTGGGAACGTTTTGTACTCAATTAACAAACAGTCGTACAAGTCTGACACGCGTAAAATATAGACAATAACAGATAAACGAGTTACTGAAAGAATGCAATTCATAATAGAAAAAATTATACGGTTTGACTTCGGATACCACTTTTCTATTATGGCAGTTAAACGTTAATTGACAATTTCTTTCACGATATTTCAACGGATTACATATGAGTGAGACTTTCCTTGTCGCCATGTTTGGTAGCGCTTTACTCTCTGAGAAACTATTTTACCAGTGTAAATAGATTCGTTACAATTTAAAAAATAATTAATTCTGTAACAAAAGACCAACTAATATTTCACCGCTTTTTTTCCTCTGGAATTTGGGCAGTTAGGAAATGATGTCTGTCCATAGTTTATTAATGAAAAAGAACTTACATGTGTTTGCTGTTATATTAGCATCCGGTGTTTACTTTTCATGCTTGTGCAATGCTATTTATCTTACGTCTATGTTCTATTCATTTATAATAATAAAACAATCTATTCAGGTTAAACAGTTTAAAAAGGTCAACGTGATCGACTCTGATTGGTCTGTATGTAATGACCTTCACCTAATAATAAACCAGCGAGACGGTAACATTTTTCTTTTATTAGTGAAACAGAAATAGACGACACCCTCTTTTTCAGTAAGTCCAGGAAATGACTTGTGTTTCTAAGAATCATTATTCAACGCGACCTCTTTCTACTCTCCTTATCTCTGCTTAACAACTTCTCCCTACAAGTATGCCTCAGAAAGGCAAGATAAATAAAATCGTAGTTTCTGGTCTGTAATATATATGTCCGGCTTGTGACATTACTCTGTAACACATGTTAGTCAGTGTGACCTTACTTCAGTACGTAACACCATTCAACAATAGACAACATCTGGAATATGTACTAATTTGTGTAGGAGGTCTTGAATATGACTTGATTCCACGAATGAATCCGAAATATGAACTTATTCAATTATCACTTATTGATATGAATTTGATTTAAACGTATTTTTATTTTCATCTGTGTTGTAGAAAAGGAATTGGATTAAAGTTGTCAAACTTATTCACAGCTCTGTCACAATAACATTATATAATATGTTTACTAACTTATTCACAGCTCTGTCCCAATAACATTATGTAGTATGCTGACAAACTTATTCACAGCTCTGTCCCAGTAACATTATATAATATGTTTACTTATTCAAAGTCCTGTCCCAATAACATTATATAATATATTGACAAACTTATTCACAGCTCTGTCCCAGTAACATTATATAATATATTGACAAACTTATTCACAGCTCTGTCTCAATATCATTATGTAGTACGTGGACAAACTTATTCATAGCTCTGTCCCAGTAACATTATATAATATGTTGACAAACTTATTCACAGTTCTGTCCCAATAACATTATATAATATGTTGACTTACTTATTCAAAGTCCCGCCCCAATAACATTACATGTATGTAATATATTGACAAACTTATTCACAGCTCTGTCACAATATCATTATGTAGTACGTGGACAAACTTATTCATAGCTCTGTCCCAAAAACATTATGTAACATTATATAATATGTTTACTAACTTATTCACAGCTCTGTCCCAATAACATTATATAATATGTTTACTAACTTATTCACAGCTCTGTCCCAATAACATTATATAATATGTTTACTAACTTATTCACAGCTCCGTCCCGATATCATTATGTAGAACGTGGACAAACTTATTCACAGTTCTGTCCCAATAACATTATATAATATGTTGACTTACTTATTCAAAGTCCCGCCCCAATAACATTACATGTATGTAATATATTGACAAACTTATTCACAGCTCTGTCTCTATAACATTATATGATATGTTGACAAAGTCCTGTTCCAATAACATTATATAATACGTTGACAAACTTATCCAAAGTCTTGTCCCAATGACGTAATACAACAAGAATATATATAATTCACTTTATTCCATCAGTACATTGGAATGTGACGTTATTCACCAGCAGATTTCGAACGTTACCTCACTATCGTAGTGCAACATCCGTTTGACTGTATTCTGTCATGTTATCCTAAATGTATCGTCCTTTCTTTCATACACTTCAGAAACAACCTCACTTTTCATGTGACCTGATTTCACATTAAGATTTTGAATGTGACCTAATTCCACCATGAGCTTTGGTGTGTAACCTAATTACGTCAGTACATCTTGAATATGACTAACTTATGAAATTAAAATGGCCATTCAGAATGCAATTTAGAATGTGACCTCGCGCATCAGTACGTTTGGAATGTGACCTCACACATAAATATGTCTACAATGTGACCTCATTTCGGGCCCGTCAGTACGTCTACAATGTGACCCTGTTCCTACAGTTCGTCTGAAGTGGCACTCTTTCGCAATTGCATATGATATCCAGCTGTCAGTACACTTATAATCTGTAAACTTATTTCGTGACTGAAGTAAACCGAGCCTGGGACGGCCTGATGTAGAGTGACCAGTCACTCATAGTCATATTGGTTATTTCTGTTCTAGAACACTCTATAATAGATTTCGCACGGATTTTAATGTTTGAAAAAAGCGAGAAGTTTGGCTGTAACGCAACATATAATGTGCCTGATAATAGTATAAGACACACATGGTCTTTATTTACGTGTATCATCCAATCAAACTTATTGAAAACTTATAGCAATAACTTGTTAATTCTACAAATAAAATCATAAAATCCCTCGTTTCCGTAAAGTTGATATTAATAAATTATCAGCTCGAACTCAAATTCTAACATCGGTATGTTTCCCTTGCAGGCTCCAGTGTTTGCTATGGTGACCTCGGCTGTTTCAGTACTGGGACGCCTTTCTTTAGCCAGTACAGGCCCATCAACTTCCTACCGGCACGTCCAGACCAGATCGACACACGTTTCCTATTGTATACCCGTGGGAACAGGAACACGGTCCACTACCTCAACCCTAACGATGTCAATAGTATAACCAATTCTCCATTTTCCGGAACTAGGCAAACGAAGTTCGTCACACATGGATTCTTGGAAAACGGACAAGTCGTTTGGTTACACGTGAGTTAAAGTTCATTAGAAAGATGATGAGTTCTTAAATGCTATTAAAGATCGAAATCATTAACATTAAGTGTGATTTTTTCTTCTTTTGTACATCAATTTTGTAAATAATCGTAGATGCTTCAGTTTTTCATTTCAGTAATATTTTCTGTGTGTTTGACAGGATATAAAGAATGAGTTTCTGAAGGCCGGTGATTACAATGTAATCATTGTGGGTTGGGGTGGCGGATCGGGGCTGCCGTACACTCAGGCTACCTCTAACACCCGCGTGGTGGGAGCTGAGATTGCCCGAATGATCCATCTTTTACAGGTATGACATTTATTACAATTATAAATAAAATTCAATAATTCGGATAACGGTTGTTTTTTAAATGAAATACTCTTTATATTTGAAAGCTCGTTTCTGTAAACAGGGTGTTCATACATGTCAAATACATGTGGTTATTGCTATTGTTTAAAGAATGGTTGTAAACGGAATAATAGTTAGCAGTGTTGTATGTGTTTTAAGTCTGCACGCGTAGGTGGTGAAGATGACAACACAATTGATGTCGGTAACTTCCAATTGGGTGAGCAATTCTTCATGACATTATTGCTTGTTAAAGTAATCCTTTAGTTTTGTCAAACGTTACCAACGCTGACAACAGACTCTACGATACATGCAACTGACAGGTAAGGCGGGATTGGTAGTTAGGAGAAGTTTTTGGTATGTGGAGATCGAATATTTCCAAAGACGTTCTGCTTGAGACAAATGTACATTTGGCAATATTGCAGAATAAATTGTGTACTGTAGGGGGCATGCTATATTTCTTTAACACTGATCACTGCAGATTCAGATATCAGTTCGGATTATTGGTGTCGTCCTTCTAACTAGTTTGAACGCAATATTTAATAAAGATGGATGGTTCCTTGTAATTCAGTCGGAAAGGGCTATGGTAAATATGGTAAATTCTCTGTGTCCAGAAAACATATAAAAACTTAAAAAACTGGAAAACACGATGAGCTGTAAAACAAGTTTTACAGCTCATCGTGTTTTCCAGTTTTTTAAAGTTTATATATATATATACACACAGTTCATTTACATCTCGGCCTAATGATACCTTCGACAGAATGGGTATGGACGCTTTTTTTATGTGATACCTGTTTAAGCAAGGACATGGGGAAATATGTGAAAGAAATTTGCCTTACGCAATACATATATTTTTCGATTATCTTCCCCAGCCATCGTGCAACAATGTGAAATGCAATCATTACGACGAATCCCGCATCATCGCGTAATTATTAAACAATAACAGAAACCGTGTTGTTATTTATTTCTAAACTGCCCGCAGAAAGCATTAGGTGGACATCTGTCACGTCTGATGGCATATGTATCTTAATATTTGTGATTCCTATCAGATATACAAGTAATGTATTATATGGACATTATATGACGTGTACAGTCTTGTTCTGATATGTAATTAAGAATTTATCAGTGACATGCGCTTATAAATATCCGTAAGTCACAACCTGACAACATTACAGATGTCAGCTCGATGTGTTTTTATCATAATTTATCATGATTCTTTTTTTCACTTACGAAGAACAGAGAAGATATCAATGACCTGCTCGTAACGACACCAAATAGCTCAAAGCGTGTCTCTAAAACTTCCAATTTAATTCATCACACTTGAAGATGTCTTTTCATAATCCAATAAAACCCCATTATAATTCCTTTTAGCAACATCGCAGAGCCCATCCCAGCGACATGCACGTAATAGGCCATAGTTTAGGGGCTCACGTGGCGGGCTACGCCGGCGCAAGGACACAAAACCTCGGCAGAATTACAGGTAAGAAAACATCCTTTTGAAACCGTTTCCTTGCTATTCTCTGAAACCTGAAAAGGTAAATTAGACCTATATCATGTAATGTCCTGTATAATATTATCAGGTCGGTAAGCTGAACTTTTGAGTTTATCAAATTCTTTATGAGGTGCAATATTTTTCACTGAGTTCAACTAATACACATATTAATTATTAGTTATGAGTTATATTGCTGGCATCTCCCATCCTATAGTTTTAATCATCAACAGGGTTAGATCCTGCTGATCCGTACTTCCAGTATACTGACCCGGAAGTAAGACTCGACCACACCGACGCCATGTTTGTTGATGTCATCCATACTGACGGGGAGAGCATCCTTAAGCTTGGTAAGTAAATTATCACCTACAGAGACAGAGAATGCATCATTAATCGGTGAATGTATATTGTCTTACTCCGGGGAAGATAGCTCCGTCTAACGAAAACAGAGACAATTTTAAGCTGTGTGCATTCATCTTTAATCTTTGTAGATATATTGTTCCACAAATGGAAAGGAAAAGCATCATGCAGCAGGCCTCAAAAACATACATAGCCTCCTGTAGCAGGCCACAAAAACATACATAGTATCCTGCAGCTGGCCACAAAAACATACGTAGCATTCTGCAACTGGCCACAAAAAATACAAAGCATCCTGCAGCCTGCCACAAAAAATACAAAGCATCCTGCAGCCTGCCACAAAAACGTACATAGTATCCTGCAGCTGGCCACAAAAACGTACATAGTATCCTGCAGCTGGCCACAAAAACGTGCATAGTATCCTGCAGCTGGCCACAAAAACGTACATAGTATCCTGCAGCTGGCCACAAAAACGTACATAGTATCCTGCAGCTGGCCACAAAAACGTACATAGTATCCTGCAGCTGGCCACAAAAACTTCGATAGCATCCTCCAGCTGCCACAAAAATGGCACAGCATCATCCATCTGGCCGCAAAAACAAGCATAACATCCTCCAGTTGGCCACAAAAACAAACATAGCATCCTCCAGCTGGCCGCAAAAAGAGACTGATGTAGTATTTTGTTTTAATCTAGTAGGATTATTGTCACAAAAAGAGACAGTATCTTATAACTCGGTAACTGCTAGTGTATATTGCCACTCATAAGGACAAGGCGCGGACACTAAACAGTGATAATTATTTAAGTATAGTGAAGTTTCGTAGAATTTCAAAACATATACGGAAGAATACCCAAGGTTCAAAATCATACAAATCTTCATTGATATTTATACAACAGCACTTACTTTCTAAACATTGTCGTAATATCTATCTTTGATAATTATTGATAATCTCGATTATTCTCGATTTCAAGAATTAAGTTTGAAACGACATCAGTTCTATATTCTGTCCTTATCTCACGATGAAGAAGACATAATGAGAGTATGTCTCTCTTACATTACCAGGTTTTGGTATGATGGAGCCCTGTGGTCACGTGGATTACTTCCCAAATAATGGCGAGAACCAACCTGGCTGTAGCAAAGACGTCATCGAAAACGTCAAATATGAGGGCGGTTTGTACAATGGTAAATCATTTTACGTCTAATTCGAGGGCGACCTGTACAATGGTAAATCCTTTTACGTTATATTCGAGGGCGACCTGTACAATGGTAAATCCTTTTACGTCTAATTCGAGGGCGACCTGTACAATGGTAAATCATTTTACGTCTAATTCGAGGGCGACCTTTACAATGGTAAATCCTTTTACGTCTAATTCGAGGGCGACCTTTACAATGGTAAATCATTTTACGTCAAATTCGAGGGCGACCTTTACAATGGTAAATCATTTTACGTCAAATTCGAGGGCGACCTTTACAATGGTAAATCCTTTTACGTTATATTCGAGGGCGACCTGTACAATGGTAAATCCTTTTACGTCTAATTCGAGGGCGACCTTTACAATGACGAGTAAAGATAACGTCAAATTCGAGGGCGACTTGTACAATGGTAAATCCTTTTACGTCTAATTCGAGGGCGACCTTTACAATGACGAGTAAAGATAACGTCAAATTCGAGGGCGACTTGTACAATGACAAATACTGATAAAGTCAGATTCAAGGGCGATTTATACAGGTCATTGCTTCAATGAATTTATTTTTATTTTATTGTTATAAAGCCAAAAAGAGGTGATTTTTCTAGGCTTTTCAAAAGTGTGACGTCGGAGAGACACCAGTTTTTTTCTTTGAGTTCTTGGCACTTTCGTAGCAGCCGTCATAAAAACGACAAGAAAATTATAGTTCCATCTACAGATTTCTATGGGTGGTATAATTCAATCTGTCCGTAAAATCTAATTCACTATGTCAATTTATTAGTGGCGGAAGGTACAACAAAGTAGCGAACACCGTTATCTAGTCCCCACCATAACATTTTAATTAAACGTGTGACTCAGTTTGACTGTCCATCATCGTAATCAGAATTGGAATAACTTGTTGGTGACAATTTGGTGCAGGGGACGTGTTTGTATTAATAGCGATTGATGAAGTAGATACAGCATTGACTCGCGTAACTTGCAATGGGCCACAGCAGACGACACGTTTGAAATGTCGTGTTCCTTACATAAGCTGCTTCACGATCCTAACTAGGAATCACTTTGATGTGCAGTGAAAGATTTAGCTTGAATTGAGGTGTCAGTTAATTTCACACGTCAGACGATAATTTAACTTTTTCATCAAAAGATATTGGGTAGTTTACAGACTAGGTCTTTTAATCAGCTTGTTTTTCATTAAATATTTTCCATTACTGGTTTTGGGGGATGAGTGTTTTCTGCTGTGTATTACTTCATTCTGTTATGAAGCCAATCTGGTCATGCAAGGTCTTTAATTTAAATCATGTATGTTTTGGATATAGGTGGTAAAGAGTTCCTAGCTTGTAACCATCTACGGTCGTACAAGTACTTCAACGAGTCCATCAACAGCGCATGTCCGTGGCAGGGTTACAGGTGTGACAGTTTCGACAACTTTAAGGTATGGTTTGTAGGTCAGATTAAAAGAATATTATGAATTTGATAAACTTCAACGATTTCATTGATTATGCTTGTTTTCGAAATACATTTAAACGATCATTTAACGAACCATGTCGCCAATACCAGCAATGGTTTGGGTCTTTTTGTCTGTTGATGATGATATGAAAGTTTCTATATAAAATACATACATCTAGTGTAACAATAGATATAACGTGGTTTTCATTACGATTTCAGATATAAAATGATATTTTCTAAATAGTATGTTTATTAAACAATTGGACTAATGTTTCATTATCTCCAATCAGCGAGGAGCGTGCATGCCTTGTTCTAGTGGTGGGTGTGGCTACATGGGTCTCCATGCCGACCGGGTAAAGCCGCCACCTGGAACGCATAATGTCAAGTATTACCTTGAGACCGGAAGTGATGCTCCTTTTTGCAGTTCGTAGATCTTGCCTACTTACCGAACATTACATTTCCGGTTAAAAATAACACATTGAGGGTTGTTACTACATGGTAGTTTACGTAGTAGAATTGATAAATGTGATGTATTTATCAACATTAATTTAAAACCGGAAAAATGTAAAATATTTATTTGAGATCCGAAGTACGTGAATACTACCTAAAACATTTGTCCATTAATGTCTATCTACCTGTATTTTCATATAATTGAACTACTGTTGCGTTGGACCTACATGTATACTTCTAACTTAGAATATATATGCTAATGTTGTGTTTCGACTCGCATACAATGAATGAATAAAATAAATTTCGTTTCTCATTGTTAGGGTACCATTACTCCGTACGAATGTCGTTTGGCAACCCGAGCGGAGCTCAGACTTGGTCCGGTCATTTGTTCGCATCCATCCACGGCACGAGCGGTCAGCTGCAAAATATGCAACTGACTACTGAGTAAGTACGGGCTACCTGATAGAAAGTGCTGAGAGCCTTTGTTTTTATACTCATGTCTCTCTGTTTATATCGTTTTCTAAATTTCAGGATCGTTGAAAGTATAGTACAATCTGCTGTCGGTATACGATAGGAACTTTTCTCGCGAAAATTGAAGTTACTTGCAAAAAAAAAAAAAAAAAAAATTCAAAATTAGAAATATTTATGTTTCAAGTGTTTAAAACGTTCCTTAAAAACAGTTATCGTCACAAGGTCACGTCTATCCTGTAAAAGATACGCTATATCGCCTATTGCGATTTAGATATAAACACATCCGTTCCTTTTCGTTTTTATTTTACAGTTAGGACATGCCGATCAGTTATATTGCAGACAGTTATGCAATCAACATTGTCGATAGAATCATTTACGTAGGCAGACTTCCTTACAACAAACGACATAATTGCCCCATGGTTCTCTTAACAGTGATGAATGACACATTTTACAGTAAGAAAGAATACATCAAATATATGACTCAAACATTGAAGGGGTTTCCGAAGTGGCATAAAAAGCAAATGATTATGACAGTTTCTGTGCTGGTATTAGGTTTATGGATTCTGAAATGAAAAATGTCCATTAAATTCCAGTCATTTGATAATCAAGGATGTTGCGTCATTTTATGAAAAAAATTAGAAAAAATCCTAGTCTTAATAATTCAAGACAGAAATATCAAATATCACGTGATAGTTACATGGTTGAGAATGTATATGCCATGCTAGAATATCTAGTTTGTTAGTACTATTGAAATAGGAGATAAACAATGATGACATTTGTGTCAAAAATTGCATCTATCACCTTTTGTTGAAATGTTCTGAAAACTACAAATATACTTTCGTCGGTTAAAAACGTCGTAAGATATTTCTGAATGGTTTACGATCCTGTGCTAAATGATAGTAATTACGAATTTTGTTGGAAGGAACTAAAAGTAGCCGAGACTGATATGATGTGCTTTTCCAAAATGGTGAGTATTAAACCTAAAAAAAACATGATTTGCTTGTTTGAACAAAATATTGTTTTTAATTCATTGCGCTTCATTAAAATGTATGGTAATCACTCGTCAAACCATTTACAATAATTTGATTGATATCATTAGTATTTGGCGCACTGATTTTGTGGAAATGTCATTTAAAGTTATATATCTCATATGAACACCACTTTATGTAAGGTATGTCTTGTAATTCTTCATCGCCTGGATTTTTTTCTATGAACTGATTTCGGCATAGTTAACGATGTTGAGTAGTGTTTCCAAGATATATCCGCCTTTAGTTTGACCCTAAACAGAATTATTGTGTTTTTCTTGGTAATGGCGGTGATGGGGTGTAAATATCGGTGTTGAGAGCGGAGCTGTTCCCTTGTTCAAATTGCACAGGCTTTACAATCTTCTAAAGAGGGGAAGCTAGAAGTGAAGGAAGGGTTTTGTTTCCATAACATATGCGATATTTACATAAGATCTTTCAGTATTTCGATTACTAAGAATGACTAAGAAATCGAACTTTTCTTTAACCAGTTTGAATTTCAATATTAGGGTAAACATTGATATTTCTCAAAAAAAAAGAAGAAGAGGATAGATGGTGATGAGATGATATTTTGCCCGCTTTGGCAAGGAGAACGAGTTTTGATCAAATGTCTCCATGCACAAAGTGCATCTTGCATGTGAAGGCTATCTATAACAAGACCATCTACTGACAAAAAGGGAAGGTTTCTCAATGTATAATCATTGCTTTAGTCGCCAGGGTTCGGTATAGGTGTCTGATATTTCTTGAAGCACTTCGCACACATACCAATTTCGTGCCTATCATTACAACATTATCATCTGCCATTAAAACCTGGATCGACCATTTGTACGGGAAAATCTATTAGTTCTGACGGATTTATTGGCCTTACCATCCCTCTTAGAAACAACGTTACAATCGCTACCACTTATCTTTCCATGTAACAATACTGATATACAATGGTGTGGATCTATACACCATTATCGTACTACACATGATGGTACATGTATAAATGGCTAATTGTCTAACATCCATCCCCTGGACCGTACCTCAAATTCACAAACGTTTTAAGAGGTTCCAGAGAGAAAAAACCTACTGCAATGTATTTCTAATGAGATCTTAAAAACCATACAGTGCATATATAAAACAACTGCGGCATTAAAGTGTCTATGCCGTTGATATTGCACTAAACATGATATACATTGCAAGCTTTAAAAATATAAATATCTTAGCATGGACCCCTCACTTTCATTACAGATTTTAGGGATAATTTATCTCTAAAAGATACATTCGGAAACCCGAATAATGACGAAACATATGTTTCCAATCAATGCGCACATAGCAGTGGTGTCTGCGAAGTCCACTATCACCCAACTAAACATTGAGGGTATCTTACTTCGAACCCTACAGGTCGTAGGGGATACATAGAGACTGATATTTTACATAGAGTATATTTTACTGCGCAAGCACGTTGTAGATTTTGGCCATTACATAAAGCCTCTTCAGACAGAACTTCTCTTATCACTTTCAGTCCGGTTTCGATACAGCCGGGAACGACGTTTGGTTTTGTTGTGACGTCACCGACTAATCTTGGAAGGGTCATGGATGTTGACGTTAAATGGGAACATCACCGTAACTTACTGAACCCGTTGTCATGGAATCCTTTTAACCTACGTCATCCGTCTGTGTACGTGTCCCGGGTAGATGTCGTACACGGAGAGTCCAACTCACAGTAAGTATAGTATAAGGTTATATCTATAATTAACACTGTCGTTAAATCATTGATGATGTATGATTTACAAACAAAAACATACGGGCCAGGGCCCAGTTCTGTTAGTAGTGGTAACCAGTGGTTAGTGAAAGTTTCCAGATATGAATCGAATTTGGGAACATTTATTTACCATTTCACAGCTATCGATTTCTTGAGCCAGGTTAGAATGATATAATATAATTGTTTTCAATGTAAAAAAAGTGGCAACAATTTGATTTTTTCACTATCTTCTGGTTGACTCTACCGGGGCTTGAAAGTCTGTTGCACTATATTTTTAAGGGTGTGTTGTGTTTGGAGTATAGTGAGATGCTTTATAGTTTAGATAGTGTCGTCAATAACATTTTTTTTATCACAAATTTAAACAGCTCCGGTTTGTAAGTGACGCTGACTGTCAACTTCAATTTGTTCCGAGAAAATTCCAATTCAAAAGGGAATACGACACAAATGTATTTCTTCCTGGTCTCACTGTATCGACACTGATTAAAATTTGAATTTGAAGGCAATATCAGACAAAATCTGCATGTACGCAAGAGTTGAGCTAGAAGATTCGTTCTAGAGAGTTAGTCCATACCGAAGACCAGTAACGAGTGATATCAACAATCCTTTGTAACCATCCATTCCATTTGACTTGGTCTAAAGACTTCGGAAAATAAGTTCTATTTATTAGAAGTACAATCTTCCATAAGTTCTGTTATGTCGTTACATAAACCTCGGACTTTTGCTTTAAAGGTTAATTGTTGTCAATGGGAAATAAATGGTTAAATATATCGTAATATAATGACAAATCTGGTCAATGTGTCTTTGTGACAACTAGATACGAAATGTTCAAGCTGACAACTATAATGACAAATCTGGTCAATGTGTCTTTGTGACAACTAGATACGAACTGTTCAAGCTGACAACTATAATGACAAATCTGGTCAATGTGTCTTTGTGACAACTAGATACGAAATGTTCAAGCTGACAACTATAATGACAAATCTGGTCAATGTGTCTTTGTGACAACTAGATACGAACTGTTCAAGCTGACAACTATATTGACAAATCTGGTCAATGTGTCTTTGTGACAACTAGATACGAAATGTTCAAGCTGACAACTATATTGACAAATCTGGTCAATGTGTCTTTGTGACAACTAGATACGAACTGTTCAAGCTGACAACTATAATGACAAATCTGGTCAATGTGTCTTTGTGACAACTGGATACGAAATGTTCAAGCTGACAAATATGATCACGTATGTATATTTGAAAAACAGAAAAACCGGAGTAATAATCTATCTTTTATCTTTTTTACTATCATGATCGTATGATAAGATTTCAATCAAAAGACGGATATCTTATAACTGTTCATATTTTTTTTCAATATTGTTTGTATCGCAGGAATTTGTTATCGTTTTCAGGTTCAGTCTGTGTGGTGCAACTAAGAACACGAATATTGAAACTCAGGGGACGATGAATTTCGCTTATACCTGTTGATAATACCCATGCTGCTGTGTTACCAAACTTAAGCCAATAACGTTTTGTCATTATATCTTATATATCGAGGGTATTTTTTTCAACAAGATAATATTATTGGAACCTGAAACTTCCGTGAAATTAATAAAACCGTTGTTAACAGTCTGATTTCATCGTTAAATGTATTGTGTTTATGTAATCCGTGTTTACTGCTGGAAATCTGTGCTGGAACACTACTTAGCTAGCACTAAGAAAAATACAAAGACGAATCGATTACAAAGTGGTCACAATTCTCCATGACAGATCTCTTCCTCCTCACGAAACGATTTGGCGCTGAAGCAGAATATCCAAGCTGCGATGTATGACGCTGTCATTCTCTTACCTTACACAACGAGTAACATTCATCATTTGATTCCAAAACACTACCCATTTCTAATGTTGATGCAGTTTTATTGGAAATTCGCAAAAAGTTACCTTCCATTTTTATTACACATCTCTCATGTAGACTATGAAACAATATAGTTTGATATACTTGTCTGATACTAGAGGTCAAGAACATGATAAATAACGCGAAAGAAAAAAATGTTTTTGAGTTTTACCGTGGATGTTATCCTTAGTATTAAATTATTTCAGCAGAGCCATATATTACGGTCACTGTCGACAAACGAAATTGTTGAAAAAACAATTAACAAAGATATTGCAGTGATTTTTTTTTAATTTCCAGATAGTGGATAACAAGAGAAAAATGTCGCCTATTTGATCACTGTTTGATGGACATCATACTGTTCAGTTTACTCTAGGCATAAGTCAAAGAAGAATACTCGATTACTTTCAGGATTAGAAGGCGTATCTTTGTAGATGTAGAATTCATCTTAGGTATATATTGTTGATTGAAATGAAATTCAAAAACTAGTACCAGTATCATCCATTTCAAGGCTTGGCGGTCGGGTGGCGAAGTGGTATAGCACTCGCCTTTCATATAGCCGCCGGTGGTTCGATTCCTCGACTAGGCGTAAAAAGGGGTCACCTGTCTGACGTATTTTTTTCATGGGTACACCGCTTTCCTCCCACGGTAGGGTAATTCGCGCGCTTACGTCCGCGTCGACAGGAATGGTTTGCATAAGTTAAAATAACTTATTTGGGAAAGGTTATATGATAGATTAAGTGTGTAAGAACACAAGCAACATTACATACTCCACTTTACACGAAACCTTGTGCGACGAGTTTGACATAATAGAAATTCTAACGATAAAATGATAATTACAAAGTTTCCTTAACAGTGTCAGTAGTTGAAGAAGATATATCGCTATGTTGTCCCTTCAGAATACAAAGTCAACGTTAGAATATATAGAACGGCCACACAATGGTTCACCTTGACAAATAAGAACCTGAAAATGGTTGTCAAGAAGATCGGTAAGCCGGTACTCTACCTATGCCTTGACGGGTTTTCAACTTACGTAAGATGTCGTAAACTATTCAGAATCGGAAGTTAAACCAATGCAGCCGAAATGTTTCCAGAAGCTAACCCTCGTCGAAAGCAATTTCTAATTTCTGGTAAAGAGGAACTCCCAATTGCTTAAGAAATGGAGAACTAATCTCGTTTGGAGACAGGGTATGAGAACTAAATACGAGACAGCATTTGTTTATTTTGTTATCGAATGACCTTCACCAGCCAACGACTCAACAAAAAATTCTCCATCTCGAATACACGCAAGTCAAAAGAAGTCTAAAGAAGTGGGTAATACTGTGATATCGTATACGTAACTATTCTGGCAGTGACCTTGAAACTGTACAATAAGATTACGTAACGACTGCACCGTGACACGTATACCGAGTATACCACATATCAAGTGCTAATCAACTTACATTGAACGCAAAGAAGCCCCGATTGCTGTCTGAATATCTAACGTTATATTAATACGTTATAGTAGATGGCATGTTTTCAATAATTCCAAGAAAATGACATACTCAATAATCATTTGAATGTTTCAATACGATATCTGATTCCCTAGAGATGCCGACATTTCAGTAAGATACTGCGTCATATATTTATATATTTAACGCTAACCTTAAACGATTCACGCAGTTTTAAGAAAAGCAAAAGCATTCGATTGGGAATCAACTGAGAAAACGACAATCTCTTAAAAAATTTATTTTACACACGGCACGGGTGTAACTATTTAAACATCTTTAATTATGTCATTAATTTGGAGGTAATTGAATTCTCAGTGAGAAACAACATCCCAGAAGGAAATTTTATTTGTGCTATATTTATACGCCTGAAACTCCCATCCATCACATTAATCGAATATCCCTCTCGGAAAGGCGACATTATTTTAACGGAAACGAATAAATTCACAGTCCGTGCAATCAAGGTGTGTTTCTGGAAGGAAATGGATGTGTTGTTATACGTGAATTTACTTAAAGTTTGCAGCAGCGAGAGATGTGTCAGCATCAAACAACCACGAAAACACGTGACTAAAGCAACATTCGTTATAAGCATGAAAGCGTAAATTTCATTAAGGGCAATGGTATAAGGTACGGAGGAGAAGTAAGGGAGACAATTCATGGTCGATTTCTTACAACATTGTCTTACGCCATTGCTCCCCAACAGATGAGTGGGCCGACTGTAGCATTTCCAAGTTCTTCACGTTTGCCTAGATATTTCAGAGGGAATAGAAGAAAACCAACACACACATCAACAGCTGCGAAGAATAGTAATCTACCGACAAACGTACATGCATCAGAGTTTGTTTCGTCACAGGCAGTGCTTACATCACAAGATTGCATGCAAGGTCATTAGGGTATATATGAATGCAAGATCCTGGCTATATTGCTTAAAGTCGAATATATCCTTTTATAATGTCATATTCACATTGTAATGATTTTATTTTATTCTGTATCAATAGAGATAGCTGAATGTTTAAATTTTGAACTTTGCCTTTAAACAATTTGCCATTTGTTTGGGTACAACATGCCGGTAAGGTTGGTGACTCAGGTGAGTAAATGATAGTCAATCTGATCGAGAGAGACTTGTTTTCTCTCTCTCTGTATTCTTTATGAAGATATTCCAAAACATATCAAAGGCCCTACCGTCGCGTTTCCTGTTTCTGTTCGTTCATCTCCTGTTTACAACAAAGGTAATACTCATGTCATAACTACGTAGCTGTTGACGCCAAATATATCTAACATAATATGAAGAAGAAACCTAATGCGCAAACTGTTGCCAATCAGCGCGTCTTCATTGCTAGTGTAGTGTACTTACCGTATTACTGCAACACTTTTCGTTTGGTTTGGTTAGGGATCTAGGCTTACGCATGTACTGATGTATTCCTTAATGCGCAATGCAGATAAAGTGTAATATTTGGTGTTTAAGTTTGTTTTATTGGGATGTTAAACACATGTTTATACCAATATCCTGCTTTGTGTCGTTTTACATGAAATTATTTCGCTACAGTTTAAAATGAACTATTTTGAAGCGAAAACATGTTTGTTACTTTAAAACCTTATTGAAATCAAATTTGATTGTTTATCTAGGTATTCAGTACTCTAAATTAGTGCATTAATGATTTAAATAGTCACAAAATAAATAGTTGGAATGAAAGACAGAGACCAAGAAACAAAATTAGCACCGATATATTTTTGGGAAGAACAGAGTAAAATGGGAAATTGGGGGGATGAACGTATATACACAGTATCAAATCAAGTACCGACTATATGATAGATTAGAATGGACAGGGGGTCTTATCTTTATATTATTATTTTACCAATATTTATTAACAAATGTTATACATAATAATCTTCAATCGGTGGCAATAACATAAATGATATTAAAAGCATACTCTTTATGAGGGAAAGAGTTCGTATACATGAAAGTAATATCGTAACCATGAATATGCTTTTCTTGAAGAACAATATGTTTTTTTACACTATGAGGATGCTACAGAACTGATGAATTCATAGCTAATATATAAAAACGCGTTAGAAGAAGAAGTTGATGTAATAGTACGAGACTTACGAAGATAAACCAAGTGTAGATAGTATCTAACTAATGTGTTTAGCGCATCACAAAGCGGTTCATAGTGAAAAATATTCAGCAGCTATATATAGAAGGAGGTAGGTATAGAGAGTAGGTATGTAGGTAGGAAGGTAGGTGGGTAGGTAGGTAGTAGGTAGGTAGGTAGGTGGGTAGGTAGGTAGTAGGTAGTAATGTAGGTAGGTAGGTAGGTAGTAGGTAGGAATGTAGGTAGGTAGGTAGTAGGTAGGAATGTAGGTAAGTAGGTAGGTAATAGGTAGGAATGTAGGTAGGTAGGTAGGTAAGAAATATGCTGCTAGACAGCATAGGACAGGGATCATGAAGAAAGGTAAGAAGTGAGTAAGTAGGGTAATAGGAAGTATAATAACTATAAGCAGTTGAATGATTGTGTAGTTAAAAGTCAAAGTTGGAAACGTTAGATACAGTGATATTATATTGTAAGGAGAACGAAGGTAAAGGAAGTAAGCGCAGGGAAAAGGATTCAGGTAAACTGCGTAGAGGGAAACGGTTGCGACATGGAGGAAGGTGACAAACTCCTTTGCACAGAAATTTACATGGCAATATTCTACAGGGTTTCTACAAATATCGACAACACATGCCGTAAAATGGACGTTCCAAATTCAAATTCAAACACATCAACACACGTGAGAAAAGTCTCGTGAGATTCAAAAGGACCAGTCACTATATTCCAGAAGCGTTAATGATATCGTGACTTCTGTAATATGTGATATCTGTGCTGATGATGTTTGTAATATAGTGATTGGCCCACTTGAAAATCACGCGACATTTTTGTCGTTCTAAAAATATACGACATCTTAATATCCGGATTAGGTTTCCGTTTTATAATATCCCGGGCTAATTTCCTTCTTTTCAAGCGAGGCCAAAACAGATGATTGGTCCGACGGTGAGATTTGCAGCTTCCGCAACATTACCTTGGAGAGGGAACACAACATTCAGTAAGGTCAGAGAAGACGAGAGGCTCGCAATGTTTAGCGACCGCAAAAGTCATGGCAACAAGTGGAATAAATAGTACGAGCATGACATATTAAGGTATCATCTCTAATATTTTGCTTTTACAAACAAATTTTACCCAATTGATCTTAATATGAAAGTTAAGATAAAGATATTTTTTCTTATGCATTAAATTACCTGAAACACAATGTCAAATAATTAATTCCTGAAAAGAAAATCATCTGTTAAAAATAGAAAACAACAGTTTTCAGTTATAATTAACACCGAATAAAATTGCTCTTAATGAAATCATATATTAATTTATTTCAATATTAATTTGATCCGTAATTATTTGATTATGTTAAAATATTATTCTTAAGTAGCACTGAATAAAAATTAAATTTGTTAAAGTATAATGATACGATTTTACTTTGTTTCTATTGATATATGAAAGAAGAAAGGCAACATTAAACGATACTGATCTCTACATAGTAATTTCTATATCAATATTGATAATGTATTGTCCCTTACGTATTGAATGCGATATAGTTACAACTTACTGGTACTGCGCCCACATACCGGATGTAGTCTTACTTATTACCGAAAATTGTCTTTGTCTCGACACATATAGAAATCAAACAAGCGAACTATACTGCCACTTATCGGATGTAGTAATTATAAAACCATATACAGAAAGTCGTCATTTTCTCGGAACATATCGAGTTTTGTCGTACTCTACTGCAGCCTACCGGATGTAGTAATTATAATTCAACAAACCGGAAGTAATAATTGATTTCAAGCACACTTAGATTTAATAGTGGTCGGAAATCGATCTACCGGATGTAGTAATTATAATTTCGGAAGTTTTCATTGTCTCGAAGTCCGGGAATTGATAGCCATACAGTGTTACTCCGTATATCATTATGATACCACATACCGGACGTTACTATTGTTTCGGTAATGACAGACAACTAGTATCGTACAGCTGTTTCTAAGAAGTAAGCAATACGTTTTTTATTCCTATCTTTCCATCTTCTGTTATCAATTTTGAAACCGTAACTGAAAGGAACAGCGTTCGTGAAATACGACCATTGATTAATAATAAAATAATGTCATTAGTGAAATCTCAATACATGATTAATATGTAAATTTACAATAAGTATACAGCATATACAGTATAATGATATCTCTCCTTTTTATCCACACAAGTCTTTCATGAATGATCCGTTTTTGACAATTCAACGGCGAAGTATTTGAAGAATTTGAAAACGAACTCGTTATGAAAACAGAACAACAGCCCCTTTCTTATTGACGAGAAATTAAATACAGTTCACCGTGTATACATATTTTTTTTAACTAATTAAAGTCAGCACGTATAAAAGAAATTGTCTCTGAATAGTAACTTTTATCTGATGTTGAATCGGAATGAGAAATAGAACATAAATTAGATATCTTACCTGTGTCACCAGCACAGAACGCTCGTAGAGGAAGATCGGGTTTGTATGTTATGTTACCAAAATCTTTTCTAATAGTGTTGTCATTGATGTCACAGTTACACCTGTCTTCTGGGCCTCCAGCGCAGCTGTGATCCATTCCGCATGCGCACATGTGGCTTCCGGGTTCTCCACCTGGGAAGTAGCTGGCGGCGGCGGAAGCGTCGTAAGACCTGTGACTAGTTCTGTTGATGAAGTAGGTGGTATAACTCGGATATAACTGGGAGCTGTATGGGTTGTGGATGACTGCGCCCTTACATTCCCACTCCACGTACTGAGAACAATTAGCCGACGCATCAACCATCATGGCCGCTTCCGCAAACGGCATGTACGGATTTCCGTTACCATATTCGGGAATAATCCTATACGACCCAGCGCCCTCGTAACCGCTCACAAAGTGGGTGCGCATCTCGCTATGTTCTGGAAAAGATGAAAAAAGTCACCTTCCTTAAAAATGTACATTTTATGATCATGTCATCTTCATTCGAATTATAATGAATAGTTAAGCTAACAGAGGTATCATCCTTACCCACATATTTCTCAGATAGATGACGATCCAACTAACTTAGCTCTAATCCCCCATCTTCGTTTTTAGAAGTTTCATCATAAACATATTGAACCTCGCCGTCGCAAGTTTACTAATTCCAAGTATAAGGACTTCAAATCTATAGTTTGCATCAATCACTTAAGGTTTGTAAATGCTTTGGTGAATTTATAATCATTCGTTGTTTTTACTTTTTAGAATATATTCGCCGCATTTGAAAAGGTACAACACTTGACATATCTCAATAGAATAGGAAGTATATTTTACTTGTGGTTTTATGTTTCGAAATGCAAACAAGACCTCCTATTTAAGATCGAGAAAGCGACGGCAATGTATGAACAAAAAGAGAAATTATCTATAGAGAATGGAAAAAATATAAAAAAAAATGAGAACAATAATCACAGTGTACAATGTATATCCATATGAATACTAAGTATATGTAGGTATGTATTTAATTAGATAATTTATAATTTCGTTATGCCTTGAAAATTATAATATTAACTGGCACATAAAATATTTAAAGGATATCTACAGTATTTTGCGCAGTAAATTCTGAACGTTGATAAACTTCGACGAAGAGCCTTGAACTTGTTGATTCCTGTAAAAGCCCGTGAAAGAATTTGCAGGCTATATATATATATATATATATATATATTTTGTTTTTACATTTTTGTCACTATTCTTTCAGGGAAGTATGAAGTACATTAATGATGTGTTCAGGACAGTCATATATACCAAGGATTGTGACCCCGACGCCATTCTCCAGTTCCATATCACAGAACACTTCATAACCGATATCCTCTTCTCCAGGTTCAACGTCTGACAGGCGTATTTCAACAAAGGTTGAGTCAATTAGCCCCCGAACAGCAAGATCGCTGCAGTGTCTCGCTGGAAAGAATTAACACGGTCTTTTACATAAACCAATTATCACACAAAATGCTAAGTAGCTGAAGGATTATTCTTAAGAGAAGTAATATTTTGTGAGAACATCACAACAGAGGACTGCAAATATAATTTGGTACAAAATAGGTGTAAAGACTAGATTATATGTATAAATGCAATAAAACAAATGCTGTGTTAAAAGAGTCTTTGGGTTAAGTTTAGAAATGTTATGTTAGATCATTATAGATAATACACGTTGCTTATTGTTTAAACATGTTTCTAAATCTACCGGTAAGGTAGTTCTAATTTGTCAGTGATTATTTTTTGGCCGGTTTTATAAACCGATATCTTAACAAGACGTAAACGTCAGACCCTTTTATCTCCTAATGGAGGAAGTGATATTAAGACAGAAAAACGCACTAGATTAGCACCACCCAAAAATAAATTTAATTAAAATAATTAACGTAAGCGAGTGTGTCCTTAAGATTTATCAGCAACCCTATAGACTCTCTTCTTTCAGATTTATTAATTAATTTCAGCCTGAATATATCTAGATCACATCGATGATCAGTTTCACTTTATAGAGAAATATGTGTTATCAAAACAAAGTGCTACTGTTTCATTTTGTCTTGATAAATACAGTTAGCATATTGGATTATCATTGAGATATTATTTGACAGGATTAGAAGATCTAAAACATATCAATTAAACAAACCGAATGGCCGGCATGCATAAGTGTGGCAAGCTTCTGAGGACACATTGCTGTTGAGACAAGGTGCTGTCAGATTGCCATATGAGGTCTCGTTACACAAACGAGATCTCTCCCTCACACCACCACCACACGTCGTAGAACACATGCTCCAAGAGGACCAATCCATCCATTCTCCCGGAACTGAAATCCAATAAACAGTAAAGTTACGAAATATTTTTGATGTATTGAGGTGTTTAACGAAATCATATTTAAATTGTTAATTAAGATTAATTTCTTCCTTAAGAAATAAAAACGAACTTGTCTTTCATTATTTATTAAAGATATGTTTATAACTTTCGATGCTCGCGAAAATGGCCTACATTTCTCTGAATATTGAAGTCACATGGATTTCTTTATTTCCCTCAGAAAAAAAATCTTTAAATGAAAAATACATACACAGGTATATAAATATTAATATAATATTATATTTCGAACTTTAAAAATACCTTTTCGGACATTTCATTTTTAGATTAAACATCTATTTTAACAGCTTTTCAATAGGAATGCTTTAATGTTCATGGTTACAATGAAATACTATATTAAAATTTCATTAAACGAGGTTTTGAGAGTGTAATTGAAATAATGTCTCCGAATCATTTCATCTTTTTTTCTTTTTGCATGGGATCATCTGTAATTTCGAGTTTTCTATTTTACTATAAGTTGATTTATTAAATTGTATCCTATCGACAAAACATTAACACGGTATTGTTACTGCCTCATAATATATTTACTTTGTCAGCTATAATAAGACGTGCCATTAGTAGAGAGGGTTATCTTATGTCCTAAACAGACCATAGAGTTTACATTTAATATTGATGTGTTAATCATCATTACATCAATCATAAATGCAATGTGAATAATACTTCCTCTGGTTTCCTCTGCCTCCTACACCCGCCGTTAGACGGACAGATGTCAAGTGTACAGTCAGAGCGTACTACTTTTTAAAAAAAAAACCACGTGGAACCCTCAGAAACCACTTGGGGTATTGACCAATCACATCGGCGATGAAACAAAACCTACCGTGCATTATTATATACTTATATTAATATATTGCATAACAATCCCAAACTTCTCACTTTTTGTTAGTCCGAAGGATTCCGACTATCTAACATCGATTTTGTTTTTGTCTTGGTCGAGAACGATAGTAAGAATTCCTATCTATGTAAAAACGCCAGATTCTGGCGATCCCAGCACAGGTCGAAACCCAGGCAATGTTGTATATAGATTTCAATAATGCGATAGTAATAAGTCATACGTCGATGGAAAGATAAATAGTTTTTCTACTGACTTGCGTGTGTGTCAAAATTGTTAAATGTTGTAAACTAAGTATTTTCTCTCATTTCTCCAAACAACTTACCTTCCAGCATATTGACAATTGCCGCCACTATGAGGGGTATAGAGTTGTGACAGTAAGTAAACCTACCGTAAAGTAAACTCCCGCGAGATTGACAGTGGTACATTACAAGAGCAACTCCAAAACGATTCCGCTTAGTGGTTGGCATTGTAAATATGCTGGAGGGTAAAGTTATTTGGAGAGTGGAAATACTTTGATTACAACATTTAACTGCTTTGACACACATGCAAGTCGGAGGGAAAATATTTATCTTTCCATCGATGTTTCATTTATAACTACCGCGCTGACGTAAACTATATAAAGCATAGCCTGAATGCCAACCCTTATCGGGGTCGGTAGAATTTTTCATATAGGAAGGAATTGTCCGCAACCAAAACAAAAATTTTATCGCGGATAGATAGTCGCATCCCTTCGGACTAGTTTGTGTTTGACGCCATTTCATGAGGGATATTAAGTCCTAATACCACATACCACAATTTCAGAACAAAAGGAACCATAAAATGAGAAACGTCAGTGTGTTGTTTTAATTCGGCAGAACAAGATTTCGTGAATAACATATTAATCTAGGAAAGAAAAAAACAAATGACGGTAGCCCAGTTAGGTCAAACGTGCGGCTTTTCAATTGTTTTAAAAATAGCACCAGCTTAATCGGGAAATTTTACACTAGATAAAATCATTAACTAATCAACTGTGCAAAAAAAGAAATTTGAGACAAAATTAGTGGTGGTTTGGGATGAACAAAGATCAATATAAGTAAGGAGGAGGTGACGTCACTGCCGATTTATTTGGTCAATTACAGAGAATAGTTAATGACACCAAGAGGTGTCGAAGAATCCCGTGTCCCCATCTGTTACGCTCTGGCTCCAAACAAGACAGTCCGGCACATTGTCTAACGTCTAGTGTCAGAGGAAATACAAACCAGAATAATTACGGCATTGTGTTCTCTCAATCCGACTTTTAACTTCATACTTTTTCGATGTCGACAGTGTAAATACAGAAATACAAAAGTGACAATGAGCCGGCAAAAGGGCCAACTACTGTCAGATTTACATCATACATCAGCATTTTAACAGCAAATATCAAAGCCGAGTTAATGTGCATAGCAAAGCGTGAAAGCAAGAAATTGGGAACCAGATAGAAATTTGGATCGAAGACATCATATGAGGGTGCACGGAGGTATTACATTGAACAGTAGGAGGATAATGAGGCTACAAGTTTAATATAAAGGAAAACAAAATATTAACATGTCACCGCACAAAACACGGCGATGAAAAATATCTGAAAAACAAAATCGAAATATTTCATGAATATTTAAATCTTAATGTAATTATTTACAATTTATTTGCTATATTTTGTAGGTTACCCACTCAAAAACAGGTACGAAATAATAAGCCAATGTGCAAAATGCAAGAAAACCAAACAAAACGTACTGATTTAATCACGTTATTGAACTAATTATTTTACTTGCTTTTGAAAAATATCGAATCTTCTTAGCTAATATTGCATAAGTGTCAACAATCAAGCGTTTTTCTGATTCAGATCAAACATCAAACCTTACTCGGACACAAGTTCGTTGAACAAATTTGATCCTCGTTATCAACTCCTTGACATGGATTGCCGCCATAATATGGACCATCACATGTCCGGTTCCGGTTTTGCAGTCCTCCGCCACAGGTGACGCTACATTCGCCCCAATCGCTCCAGCTCAGCCAGATACCATTGACTGTAAAGGAAATAACACAACCGTGATACATGTAATGATGCTAGCCTATAGCCAGATCAATTAGATTCTACATAGTTAGCATTTAAATATGTTTTGACTCTTTAGTTAGTGGTATTACCGCAATGGTGCACGTTAGATGACATACTTCAGGAGATGCCCTTACAAACCACGAGACTGACTTGATATGAGGTACTCTTTTTTGAGGAGTCTTTTATGTATCTGTTTACAGTATTTGTATCAATACTTATGGAACTCTTTAGTTAGTGGTATTACCGCAATGGTGCACGTTAGATGATATTAAATGAGAAAGCTAATTCATCACTCATGATTGGACGGATAGCGCCTGAATAAACTGTGTGTACATACTTCAGGATATGCCCTTACAAACCACGAGACTGACTTGATATGAGGTACTCTTTTTTGAGGAGTCTTTTATGTATCTGTTTACAGTATTTGTATCAATACTTATGGAACTGAGTGTTTCAGTCTTGTCTGGTGCAAAGTTTATCAATACGTATTGGGGAAAAGGTGTATTGCAGTCGTGCATCTGATTGTAGGTGAGTCAAATACATGTGCGGAAAGTTATTTGTATTACAGCCTTTTATATGATTGCAGGCGTTTTAATAATCACGTGGACCGTTGAAAGTTTTGAGTATTATGTCTAGTTTTAGGCGTATCAATACTTTCGCGAACAGTTGTGTGTTACAGGGTCGTACATTCCGTGTCTCTCTAAGATTACACACTATATAGATATTTTGTTGATCATGACTGGAGAACATGTATATTGAAACTCTGTTTATTAAGTGATTTTTCGTACATGTCATGTTGTAAGTGTATCAATGCTTACTAGGACAGTTGTGCATGTTACAATCACGTGTCTGGTTGTATTCGCCCACACAATCAGCACCACCGTACAGTGGGTCATTACACTGACGTGTCCGTATCTGGCTCCCTCCTCCACACGTGGTACTGCATGGACCCCACATAGTCCACTCCAGAAAGAAACCGTCGACTGTAATGTATATCACTTTAAGAACGGCGGCATATAACTTATTTTCATACAGAAATTCAACAAAGTTGATTACATTTTTACAATTAAAATAATAAAAAGCAAAAGCCCATTTATTTTTATTCATTAATTTAAATTGATATAATAATACAGAATTAATACGAACAAATTACATTAATTGTAGCAGTAACAGTTGAAAATCATTACAGATACATCGATAAGTTTTTATATCAAAGTTGTCAAAATGTCTTTATATGAAATATTTAAATACTTCTCTATTTAAACATATCGTAAATATGATGATATGATTATCAAACACTTTCGATTTTAAATCTCAGTTTTATCAACATAAGGCACATTATTTCAGATTGGATGTCAATGTCAATTAAAAAGTTTAGAAACAATTAATCCAATTAGTCAATATACTTTAATACTATCGATACAAATATTTCTTTTCATTCCATTAATTATCTGGAAAAAAGTAATCATAATACATAAATATCAATGGTTAGATAATAGTCAAACTTACTTTAAAATGAAATTATTACAATAGAGACAATAGAGTATTTGATTTACAAAATTCTTTATCTGTTAAAGAATATATATTTTTATAATTACATTCTACATTAAAAAAAAGAGCCAAACAAGGCTACTAGTACCACTTACTAACTACCCGTGGTAATAGTTTCCTCAGTGGCCATTACAAAAGGAAAAATACGATGAAGGAGGCATATCATGGATGTTAGTAGTGAAGATGTTTGTGCAGCGTATGAGGAGTGTGAACAACCAGAGTGATTTAAGTATGGTAATAGGGGAAAATGCAGTGCCAGTATGATAATTGGAGGCAAGGACATAAGTTCGGGAAAGAGTCGTGCACATGAACGGATATATGTGCAAAACCCCATCCCAACATTCCAAAGCTTTGAAGAGCATATAAATCTGAAAAAAGAAGAAAACAAAAGTGGAATCCATCGGTTCTGACCAGGGCAGTTTTGTGTGTTACAGTCCTGGTAGTCGACCCAGGGATCGGAACAGTTAGCACCACCATAGTAGGGACCGTCACAGTCTCTGTAACGGTAACGACCGCCTCCGCCGCATGTCACATTGCACTGGCCCCACTCCATCCATGCCATAAACACACCATCAACTGATACAAAACCATCATTAAAGTGAAAAACAGTTATACAAGTTCATGAATAATGATAGGTAGTTTCTATGGCGATGCGGAAACCGCTGCAAATGTTATACAATTATATAAAGATATTTTAAAGGCAGTTATTCCTTACTGATTTAAGATTTTTTTTTAGTTTTGTAATGTTTCGCGGATGTTCCACAAATACCTTTAAGAGACAAATATATAAGTAATTATTGAGAAGTATACACATACAGCGAATCCAACTTACTCGGGCATTCCTGTGTGTTACACTCGGTGTTGTCCTCATATTTGCCTTCACAGTCCGCTCCACCATGAAAAGGTCCATCACATGATCTATTTCGCCACTTTTCTCCACCACCGCACGTGACGTTACACGAAAACCAGTCTGACCAATCGGTAAAGATGCCGTCGACTGTGAATATTTCGAAAATATATGATCATTGCATTATGATGTAATGAAATATGTCAATGCTTAAACTGGTTTAGTTTTAAAATAAAATTATTATCGGAACGAAATATAATAATTCTCACATACTTCATATGGTGATCCCAAGGTAAACAGAGCTGGGATAAAACTATCCCACACATTGATAAATGTTCATAAACGTGTAAAGACACATGTCCCAGATTTCAGATATACTGTTATGAAAACTAGGATGCAGGAAGTATCTTGTGGTATTCGTATAAAGTAAAATGCTTACTTGGACACTCCTGCATATTGCAGTCTCTGGAACTCTCATAGTCGTCCAGACAGTCTGTCCCGCCATGATAGGGACCGTCGCACGTGCGATTACGCCACTGGATGCCACCTCCACAAGTTACGTTACAATGATACCAGTCACTCCAGGATGTGAAAACGCCGTCCACTGAAACACCGTAGGCGTCAGGAATGAAGAAAACGACAGAATAATGATAAAATATTCGCTGTAAGAAATGTTGAATGCTAAGAACACCACTCAAGTATAAACTGATCACATCTAAGGAAAGAAAAGCCATTACCCCCTTCCTGCAAGGGTTATCATTCCGCAGAGCTCATAACCTGTAAAGATGAAGATTAGTTTAACACCGATTGCTTTGGAAACATACCATTGTTTCATTTACACACCTTACTGGCTATACAGTTCGTAATATAAAGTTAGTTATAATATTTATTGTATCGAAAACATTCACCAATACAGATTTGTTTCCTTTATAAAATAATAGTTGTAAAATATTACTTACGAAATAAAACACAATAAGAAAATGTATTTGACACAAAAGTACCTACCTGGACAGAAGTGAGTGCTGCAGTCTTTGGTTTCTTGGTCCGGGCCGGTACAGTTCGGTCCCCCGTAGAACGGTCCATATTCATCTCGGTACCGCGAGTGGTTTCCTCCACCACAGGTCACGCTACATTCATCCCAGTCAGACCAGTCCAGCCAGATACAGTCGACTACATGACAGATAACATAGGTATGAGTAAACACCTATGTCTATAAGGTAACTGAGAAACAGACTAGTCTGTGCTAACGTGGTTGTGTCATTGGGCAGGAAATTTCACATTTAATGCCTTGCATGACATGCAACGGGTCTTCTGTATGTCACACGCTACTATAAGAAGACTCAAAATGGCTATGACCGTTCAATGGGTGATACCTCTCAAAACAACCAATCGACAACATGTAACTTATACACCTGCATTCCAGGTACTCGTGCAGATGCATGTAGTCATAATAACCCTACCTTTGTATCTCTGCTTATTTTGTTTCATACATACGCGTTAAGATTTAATACCAGGTAAAACGCACATAATTTTACTCATGGTTTCTAGAAGGACGAAACAACTGTATGGCACAGTTTGCTTCATTTTGCAGCTCTGATTCTAAATTTGATTGGTATTAAATGCACTATTCACTGTGTATTTTATACAACCTTTTTTCTACAGAAGACTTATTCGACGGTGTATAAACAAATATGTTACACTTTGTACATTTGTAGTAAGAAGTCAGTATCTTATACATACTTGGACATTCTTGCTCGTTGCAGACCTGGAAATCGTCATTACTGCCTTGACAATCCTCGCCGCCATAGAAAGGGCCATGACAATCACGTGACCGCATTTGTTCTCCGCCTCCGCACGTGACATTGCACATGCCCCAGTTTCCCCAACTCTCCCAAACACCGGCAACTGACAAAGTACAATTTAAGGATTTACCTGTTTGATCTATCTAGCACCAAGTTTATGGCTGAATATTTGATATTTCCAATTTGTGCCTTATCAAATATTGAATTAGAAATAGGCTGACAAATACTTTTTGTATGAAATACTATAACATGATATCTCAATGCAATTTTCATATATACATCAATTCAAAATTTGCTGACTATCTAAACCATACTTTAACGATAGTCACTGCTCCCAGAATGTGTTTGTAAGTTTATAGATAATGTAATAAGGCAATGGAATGAATTATGTTCACCAACCTCTTTCCATTTGTCCTATATAAAGATTATGAGGTGACAGTCAGGCACCAGTCACACTGATGCATAATTTAATTAATTTTTCTCACCTGGACATGGCCTCGGGTAGCAGTCCTGACTGCTATTTGTAGGTCCACTACAGTTTGCCCCTCCGTAAAAGGGGCCGATACAGCCCCTGTCACGCCATTGTGTGCCATTAGCGCAAGTGACGCTGCACTCTCCCCAAGTGCCCCACAATTCCCATACACCGTCAACTGTAGAAAATCAGTTAACATAACATAAGATAGTAAATACATTAATATGGTCGTATTAAGTTCTTTTTCAATCAGTAGCATTGCAAATCTTTTACCCATTGACAATATTCTTGCAATCGACAAAAAATAAACATTTTTAACACCAATATCTAATTTCAATACTTATCAATAAGTTTTTAACTCATTGGGTACATCGTAGATTCAGAGTTATAACACTTACTGGGACATTCATGGGAATTACACCCTTCGGTCTGGTTGTATTGTCCTTCACACAGTTTTCCGCCGTACATAGTTCCCACACATTCCCGTTCTCGGGTTCGATTGCCACCTCCACATGTGAGACTACACTCAGACCAGTCCATCCACTCCGTGAAGTTACCGTCGACTGAAAGCATTGATAGCAATTAGAAAAAAAGAGAAAAGCCGTATAAAGTACGACCCGATAATTACTTGGTTCCGTTTAAACGTTATTAGTGAATAGATTCGGCATTAAGTACTCCGAACAGCAAAAAATATATTGAAATGTAAGGAAATTAGTGAACAGTCGAGAAGACTAGAATATTTAAAGTATAATATCATTAAAACACAACAACGGAGGACTATAAAACTACATAATATTATAGTTATTTAGAGAGATACTCTACTTCTAAATCAGGTCATGAATTAGAAAAGGAAGAGAGTTGAAGAAGGGATATTTAGAGATTTCATAGCATTTAAAGTCTAAAAGAAGAAGCACTATCATGCAAAAGATAATGTAAGATAATGTAAAATAATGTAAAATAATGTAAGATAATGTAAGATAATGTAAGATAATGTAAAAGTTGAAAATATTTAAAAAACAAAATCTGTAAGAGAGTCTAAAAAATATATATAAACTTACATAGCAAAATTTGATAAGAGATAAGAATTTAATTACTCTCTGTGATTTGATTAAGCTATCGGCTGGAAAATGGGAAGTAAATAAATTCTTTCCTTTTTTGTGATGTTTCATGTGTAGAATATTAAGAATTGTGTCATTAAGTAGTCATAAATATAAACGAATTAAATAAACTTTTTCTAAAATATTGGTATGGTTTTATCTGTAAATATTGACAGTTGGTGTGGATTCGTCTATAAGAAGAGATGGTTGGTGTGGAATTTCCTATAAATACAAATGCTTGGTATAGGTTTTCATAGAGATAAAGCCTGTTGGTATTAGTTGGTTGAATAATACAGACAATTAGTTAGGGTTTTGTCTATAAAAGGAAGCGGTCAGTTTGTATGAGTTTTCCTATAATTTTCAACGATTGGTATGGGTTTCTTATAAGTAAAGACAAGTGGTTTGGTTGTTCCTCTATAAATATGGACGGTTTGTATGAGGTTTTCTTGTAAATATGGACCGTTTCAATGGATAACCGTTGTCGACCGTTGAAAGGCCATACAAGTGAACTTAACACCCGTTAAGATAATAAGATAAATGTATTCTTATCAATATGAAATGCTGCTTTTGGTTGTCCTATAGACCTATGTGATCTTATAAGGGTTTAGGATGACACAGAGATGTACAGCACCAGGACATGGTCGTAAGTTACAGTCCCCAACGTCAGTCCACGACCCGGAACAGTTCAATCCACCATTGTACGGCCCGTCACATGTTCGTTCACGCAGACGCAGTCCGTCTCCACAGCTCTCGGAACATGCACCCCACTCCATCCATTCGTTGAATAGACCATCAACTAAAAGCAGGATATATACTGAACAATGATATAACGAAACAATTTTTATGCTTTACACTTGATAATCCGCACTGAACTCTTCGATTCGTGACCGCAAAATCAAATCAGGGAGACTAAATGTATCACTAGGAAAGTAGATGAGCCTGAGAAATCAAATATTTTCACAATCATACGAAGAAATCGAAAATTTCTGTTTTGTGGTGGTATAAGATCGTATTTAAATCATTTTGCGACACGTGGACAGTTCAGTCGGTAATGTTGTGTAAAGTGGAGTTGTGAACTGTGTCTTTATAATTACACAGTGATAGCTTAGTACAGTATATGTCTTGTGGTACTAGGGACATGGACTATGCAACGCGTGTTTATACATTTTGTTACAAAGCATCCGAAGCAAACTACGGGTCACTATGTTCTAAACAAGCGGATATAAACCTGCAATTAAATTATAATTCTAACTGACGAGCTATGTCAGGTTAACTTGGAAACAAACCATACTGATCTATCTATCTCGTCACATTCTGAAAAATATTAACAAAGCATACTTTAACAATAGGTAACAACAGTAACAATAATGATCACTATTAAGTACTTGATGCAAGTTATGATAATATGTCACATACTTATATAACAGCATTTGGCTCTGATTGACCATTAAAGAGTACAGTTTATCAAGGAATTAATATGATGCTTAAAGTTTTTATTTTAAGTTCTTTTTTGTTTAAATCTAATGATATATGGTAGTTACATGTTTATATATTTCATGTGGATTTTAAAACTTTATCACAATAATAGATGACATAGTTATTCTTACTGGGGCAGTCTTGCTCATTACATGGAGCAAACTCTTCTGGCGGTCCGGTACAATTGGACCCACCATGCGCACCAAAGGAACAAATACGATAGCGGTATTTGGTTCCGCCTCCACATGTTTGGGTACATACGTCCCACATCGACCACAAACTCCAGTCCCCGTCCACTGAAACATAGGAACCGCAAATTAAATACAAATTTCAATCGTTTGCCTTTAGAAAAGATATCATAGTCCCTCAATCATATTTCAACGGAGTTAAAATAGATGACATATTTCCATTCTATTTTCACTCTCCCGTTTCGTTTTAGGTAAACCAGGTGGAAGTATATCAACCTTTACACATCCATTTGGTAAAGCGTATGAATACACTTCAGGCGGTCAAGGTGAGACGTTTACGAAAACTAATCCTGGTAGATAAAAATCTAATATTTATAGTCTATGATCCATTAGCCTATATATCAATATTATGCCAAACTGGAGTATGTGAACCTGTATACCTCAACTGACAGTGATTCAGCTTGTCTAAATCTAGATATCTTTCATGTAAACAACACTGGACACCGGTCGTTTTCGGTATCAATATACTGATATATTCGAGGTCGTTCTATGTAAACTAACGGGCGCCATTTCATATCAACTATATATCCCATCTGGTTATAGTTTATTGTTGAAGTATACACGATTTTGGATTGAGTTATCTAGTCAATGAGGTGTAGATTTTCGTATAAATTACCTGGACAGGGTTCGATGTTACAGTTTCTGACCTCTGAATCGTCACCTTGACAATCCAGACCCCCAAAGTAGGGACCAAAGCAAGTCCTGCTTCTAACCTCTTGGGCGCCACCACAGCTCACTGGGCATTGAGACCAACCCGTCCATGATGTATAGATACCGTCCACTGCGAAAGATTGAGAAACACAGTAAGTATAACTATGTAGCCGAGGAAGTAGTGAGGATATTGTCGTTCAACGAAAGAGACCAGACAAGTGTGAAAAAGGTCAAATTGTTAACATATTTCAATAGTTACAGTTTGAAGTAAGGTAAGACGCGTTTTCGTTATAGTTTGATAACTAATGGCACAGGATGTCAACAGACTGAATTTGATAAAGAATATGGAAAATGTTTGCTGCACTGATTGTGATTTTAAAGTGTGATATAAAGACATTTGAAATTTTCTATGCTGTTTATTTGTCGCTAACTATCTATTCTGTTTCTTTTTGCGATGTGAAGCTGGATCTATTTGATGCCCGCTTATATGCTAGTTTTTACTTTTTGTTCATTGATCTCATTTGAAGGCATTATATCATTTATATTGATCAAGATTTACATGTCGTATGTCATCGAATAAACAGAAGAAAGTTACTCTTCCGGAACACCTGGTCTTATTCTCCTTCGGTTTTTTCAGGAGTCTCTGTGTATTGTTCATAATTTCCATTGTTTTGTAGATTTTGAGTTTGTTGTCTGTTGATATTCGTTTTTACATAAAGAAACATTTGGTGTTAGATAACATTAGCTAGCATATTGTAAACTTAATTTAGCGCAATGACTTCATCTCGAAAAGCTCAATATAAGATAAGCACTTAAACTTGTACATTTAACGTTAATAGTTATTCATATTGAACGTTAGCTGTTCCATGACATACCTGGACAGTTTGCTTGGAAACATCTATCAGATTCTTGCCAATCTCCAGTACAGTTTTTTCCACCGTCTGAAGGACCGTCACACTGACGTTCTCGATATTTAGTTCCAAATCCACAGGTGACGTCACATGCTGACCATGTAGCCCATGGCAGCCATACGCCATCAGCTATAAATTACAACTAACACACTTCCGGTGGCTGCATCTTCTATTTAACATGCCAGTCCAAATTTCCTTGTTTGGTATTATGATTTTTTTTACTGTCATGAAGCCAATCATTTAAAGCAAAGCAACGACTACATATTCAACAATAATCATTTTGGAATTCATTTGATTTCAATCAATTTTAATAATATTGATGATAAAACATTCTGTTGTCATTTAAGTATTATCCTTTTTGTTTCACAGTATCTCTTGAAGACAGTAATCAGAATTCCAAATTGATTATTGGTATCAGTCTACAAAGATGTGAATCAATATCTATATAGAATAGTAAGCAGATCTATATGCTGTCTATAAAGAGTGGATAGTTATAAGCAGCTAGGCATGTTGTCTAAGAAGCCGAGTGATAATATATAGCAATTCTATTGAAGCACTACAATATTTATGATATAGGAATACAACATGCAATATTCAGATATGACCATGTTGAATATCACCAATATAGTTTTTTAACAACCCTAAATTTACGTAATTTGTACAGGTAAATTTAGGGTAATGTACACCAAGCAAACATGGCTACATTTTCAGGTACCTGCAGGCCTGAGAACACGGTAATATACCATCAACATGGTGGTAGAGATATGTATGTTATTTGCAATAATCAGTCATGGTTATCTTTGAACAAAAATGTTTATTGGACGAACCCTGGATTTCTGCTATTTTCTGTAGTTACATCAAATTTGACCTTGCCTGACAGGTTATGATCAGCATTCAAGCTAACCGTTAATACTTGTCATATCTATCATAACAAAATTGTAAATCACACTGAAAACAACCACAGTAATGTTATTTAGAGATACAACGTTTAGTACAGCGATGAAGGACTTCAGCATCCATATGCTAAGGAGAAAATCATTATTTTAACTTTAGAAACTCGTCTGATTTGGATCAATGCATCGAAAATTCGTTGTAAGATCCATTTAGACTTAGCCATGACTGAATAGCAGTTTAAACATAAGCCGCACAGTAGTATAAAGTTGACAAGAGAGATACGTTATACAAGATCAGGAGAGTACAGAGTTACGAAAATAAATAACTGTGTCAGTAACTTCGCCTTACCCGGACAGTTGGAGGGGTTACAGAACATAGTCTCATCCGTCGATCCTTCGCACTCCGACCCGTTGTGGAACGGACCGATACATTCTCTCTGACGGTGCTTGCTGCCACGCCCACAAGAGTGAGAACAATCTGTCCAATCCGACCAGGTGTCCCACACACCGTCCACTGTTCGTTTGGGGAAAGTCATAGAATATGAATTGATAACAAATCCATAGCGACTACCTCATGGTAATCTATTTTTTATATAACAACTCTGTTTTGAGCATTTTTCTTTCTTAAACTTACGATATTGTTTGTGCAACGACGAGTAACAAAATATGAGGCGAGTTATAGAAAATAAAATGTCCATTTCTACAACATATTTTTGTGTGATTTAAGCTAAGTATGATCAGAACAGACTTACAGGAGTTTAGCGCAGATTTTTTTCTTCCAAGACTGTACACAATATAGAACTTTATAGGACTGCGAATGCACCAGCGTACACATTACTTTCTCTTACCTGGGCAGAAGAAGGAATTACAAAGTCGCATAGCGTCATGTGGTCCTTCACAATTGGCACCACCGTGGAATGGTCCGTTACACGTGCGGTTGCGCGTTTGCGTACCATTGTTGCACGTGAGACTACAGTCGGTCCAGTTAGACCACATCTCCCAGATACCGTCAACTGCATAAAACATTTTAACGTCAACTAGTCATCAACTCTCACTGATTAATCACACATCCAAAATCAAAATATAGACATTCGAGTTACTCTGAACTAACACCGAACTGAAGATATTACATCACATGATTTCAAATTCAAAGAAACATCAAGACGTACATAATTGTTCAAGGTAACTGCATGATTAATTTCGGGAAAGATTTTTATTTCTTATTTAGTCACGTAAAATAATTCATCTTTAGAAGAACAGCTATTTAATTGGTATCAATGGTATTCAATGTATAAAGACGATGTAAAATGTTTCCCGTCGCACTTACTGGGACATTCCTGTGTATTACAATCGTCGACCTCCATATCGGTTCCGTTACATGGCGAACCGCCATATAACGGTTCTACACAGTCACGTGTTCGCCACGTCATGCCTCCTCCACAGCTGACATTACACGTGGTCCAGTTGGACCATAACTCCCAGAATCCGTCCACTACAAAAAAATGGGTCAAATCCAAACCAAACGGGTAAGGGGTCAAATAGAACGAAATCACACGTGGTATATCACACATCAAACGTGTCGATAGGAGTGTATTGATGGAGGAAGTAATCGTGATACGGGCGAACAACCCATGCTCTTTGGCATTCTTCAGACACTTTTTATACCACACATAGCACCTGTAACATGGAGTAAAAGATAAACTTGTAAAATAGGGAGGTTTTATAAGAATTCTGTACTATCTATTAACCATCTTATTTTGTCTTCCTCACAAAATACTTTCGGAGTATATTTTCTATGTTTTCCATGTTACAGGTGACTGTGGGACATTGATTTGAGTATGAATATCACACGTCATGCGGAAAGAGGAGTCACACTGCGGAGTAAAAGCTTGGATCACTGCAAATCTGAGAAAGAGTTGTGTCTACCTCGATATATCCGGTATGCGCCGTCACCCACGCTTCTCTACTTGATCATACTATTTAATGTAGCTTAATCAAGACAGTATTAGATGTATTTGAAACAAACGTCACTTGCTCTTTTATATGTCGTTATTCTTTTGAACGTGCCCTTCGTACATTTACACTGAGTCAACGTGCAGATATGTAGACTAACATGATTCATGAAAATGTTTTAACAACTTTTGTTGTCGCATCAAGATGATTAAGTAGATGGCGCTTTAGGCTACGTTGTACCGGCTGACACCGAGGCAATGGATCAGACACAGATACCGACCTGGGCAATTATGCGTGTTGCATTCTTGTTCCTGTGTTTCTTCGCCGGTACAGTTGTCGCCACCATAATAGGGCCCTTCGCACGTACGCTCTCGGTCCTGTAAACCTCCCCCACAAGTCACACTGCACATCGTCCAGTTTGACCACACCGTCCAGACTCCGTTGACTGAAGATAGTTTGTACCGTTAGTATAGGAAGCTTTCTAACATAAATTATATTGCGGAGAAATGCAAACCACACTATACCGGTCACTTGAAAGATATCATGATCCTTATGTATGTCTATTGGTCGAAATTTAAAAACAATTGATTTTTAACTTGCTATTTGACTTACTTGGACAATTATGCATGTTACAATCTCTCGGCTCCATTGATGGACCTTCACATTCGGCACCTTGGAAGAAGGGTCCTTCACAGTCTCTGTAGCGTCTTTGTCCACCACCTCCACACGTGACATTGCACGTGTCCCATTCAGACCATTCCTTCCATACACCGTCAACTGAGACAAAGAATACTCATTGATACTGAACGTTTTGTTTTGTGTCACTATTTGAATAACCAATGAATGTTGATCAGGCCTAATTCATACACATAATACATTTCTATATTAAGTGTTAAAACATTTGAATGAAGTTATATTATTTCTATTTCTTTATTTTCTTACCTGGACAACTCAATGATACGCAGACCTCCTTCTCATAGAAAGCTCCTGTACAGTTTTCTCCTTCGTGAAAGGGGCCAAAACAGGTTCTGTGTCGGTCACGTGTTCCGTTGGCACAGGTGACAGAACAGTCGCTCCATTCCTCCCAGGTATTGAAGATACCGTCGACTGGAAAAACAGATGATGTCTCCGTATAAATTTTTCTTTTGTTCACATTTTGTCCTTTTTATATCGAAAATGATTTTCAATTATGCTTTTGGTGACATGTTGGTATTTTCTTGTTGTTTTGTATTAAATGGAACTTTTTACTTGTGTGTATTTTGTACAATCATTGATACACATGTACAAACAAGACATCTTGGTTATTGTAACACAGTTTTCGTATGAATGAAGAATCATTTGTTTATAATAATACAACGTGTAATTTAATGTAAAGACACAAGGCAGATCTTTACTTCGTTTTCGCCACTACTGTTGCGTCAAATACAGAGAGACGAATCTTGTCTAAAATTTACAGAAAACCCTATACTTATATCTTTGCGAATAGGTTAGCTGTATGGTGTGGCTGAGTACGCAAAAAACATGGTGTAAGAAATTCTGCTGATCTAGAAAGTGTACATATTTTAGTCAAAAATTTGTATATAGGGAAATTTAAGTTAAAGCATTCAAATAAGGAAGAACATATAAAAGAGGAACATAGCAGTAAAGAAACGGAAGCTTCAATTTCAGTTTCTGAAGTGTACACATTCATTCCTACATGACTTACTTGGACAGGGAAAGTCATTGCACACCCTGGTTTGGTTGGCAGGTCCGGGGCAGTCCAATCCGCCGTGAAGAGGGTCGTCACACTCACGTGACCTATTGGAGCTTCCAGTGCCGCATGTTACAGAACAGTCAGACCACATGGTCCACTGTTTCCAGGAACCATCCACTGTTGATAATAACAGAAAGCATTACTAAGAAATATTGCAATATTGAAATGAATCGCTAGAGTTAATCGCTCTATCCCTGACGATTTTTAAGTCATAACGAAAACACAGTCCAATAACTGATAGGGATCCAAATAAACTCAATAATTCATTGTATTAATACATCTTAATGTGTGGGGAAATGGAGAAATAATATAGAAACTCTGACAAAGAAATTTAAAGGACAACACTTTAAAAAAACAAACAAAATAAAGATACAAGACAATCCATAAACAGAGATATATAAGAGAAAATTTATCGCCAAAAAATGTCATTTAGAATCATTTGGAATATCATACGACATGAAACCGTAAGTTTTTTTAAAAAAGGACAATCAATGATCTTTTCACCGATCGCAGTGTAAAGCGATGACAGTTCTGACATATATGTATTTAGTATATATGTGTTTAGTAAAGTACCTGGACACGAGAAAGCATTACAGACTTCACTCTCTGATGGCACGCCTGGACATCCTGCACCGCCATGTAGCGGCTCATTACACGTGCGATTCCTGTATCTCGTGCCGTAGCCACATGTAGACGTGCATGAACTCCACTCGTTCCAGGGTTCGTATTGTCCATCCACTGTTCAAAATTAACGATAAATTGATAATGACATAGAAGTGTTAAGTACTGTAGCAGCTAAAGATGAGGTAGAGAAGCTAATTTATTATAGATACTTATATACCGAAGTTTACTTTAAAAAATACAAAGCAAAAAGGACAACTTAGCACGTGTTTGCTATGATCCTTCAAAAATGTTTCCTACCTGGACATTCGCGAGGAAAGCAATCTCTGTTCTCTTGTTTTGGACCTTCACAGGGTTTTCCGTCGTAAAGAGGTTCATTGCAGACCCTTGTCCGGAATTGTGTTCCATTTTCACACGTCACAGAGCATAATGACCAATCAGACCAAGTCAACCAATAGCCATCCACTGTATTGGTAATGTTCCATTAGTCAACCAATCAGAAACTCAGAAACATCCCCATCGTGTTTAGCGCCCAACCCAGTCAAAGACGGTAAGCAATGTGTACATAAATGCAAACACAAATCATAACATTCCAAAACTCACGTGGAAATTATAGACGGGAGCGCTATGCCACACGACGCTATATGCTGCATCGCCAGTTCTTGGATAGAATAAATACTGTGGGTAAGCGTGCGCGGAAGGAGGAGGAAACCACAAGCAAGATCCGCCATAACGATAAATTAGTGGATAGAAGTTTGGATGAGGTAAACGTGTCGGTGATGTCTAGAAGATATGACTATGCTGACCCCGCTGTTGAGCATTGTTTGCATTTGCATCATAAGGGCATTCACATTATGTGTAGAGAATTCCAACGCATAAAACATTAACACATAACATAAATGTCGTAAAATTATAAAATAACTGAAAAGTCATATCTTCTTCTCAAATATGAAACTGAAGGATGTATTGACAAAAATATTTCACGATAGGATACGGGATAGGTAGATAAGTCAAGGTTATATGATGTGAAGAAAGCTTTGGATGGGACACGATTGTGCTGATGCTGAAATCATGAGTACCACTGCACGGCCTTGTATTGCAGGGCTGCGTCTGGGGCGCACTGCCTATACATGGAGCGGGATTATATAAACACAGGCGAGATCGAGCTTGTGAGCCTCCTCCACACTCGACACTACACGCGGACCATTCACTCCAAAGAACCACTGCAACAGCAAGAGCGAGGTTAGGCCGAGTTCGCTTACGTCGCAGATGCCGTTAATCACCTTGCGGTGATTGAGGAGGGGTAAGAGAGATGAGGTATCATTTCAGATTTCATCTAAACACATTTATAAACGACAATTTTTAAAATTGATTTACAGCACATCATACGTTTATCAGACGAATCCCGGTGCATTCGTGTTTCTTAGTAGAGAGTTATTCATTCACATCAGAACTCACAAAGTCAGAACATGGCAGACCAACGATTAATATTTGAGGACAAGAAAGAGTTATCGGTGTTGTATGTCAAGTTTTATCGATGGTTAAATGAAGTAAACAAAGAGCATAACGCCAAGGTTTCTAAAGTGCAATCTCATACTAAATAAGGGTAGGATGAATGCATACATCAGCGTTAAGCAAATATATGTTGCTAATTGAAGGGACCTCGTAATAGTTTAACAAAAGATATACGGATTGCTTAAATCTCATTGTAAGTTGCAAGTTTGGTTCTTACGAAGAATCATACAAACCATTAATGGCTATTGTTTTTGAAACATAATGTCGCATTTTCTCCCTTTCCAAAGGACAAATAAGGTAGAATAGAAATAACTCGCTAGACTAAATAGATAAAAAAAATAATACAAATGGTAAATCTGGCTTCAACATGTCTTTCCATGCGGAAGACATGTTTGCAACAAAAGCCATTACAAATTCCGACATTTTAGTGACATACATTTGTACACTAATATGTTTTCAAGAACATGAAGAAATAAAAATAGGAAGACCATCACAAATGTTATACTATGGTAGAAGCTGAAAGTCTTCATGAAATACTGTCATCAACCACAATCTCCTGACAATATTCATTTTTCACATTAAAGAAGAAATTTGATGTATCCGTACTCAACAATAAAATTATAATGATTTCAAAATACAAAGGTGATACCTCTGATTGATGAAAAAATATTTCTATTTAAATCAAACGTAATAAAAATGGCTGCTTATCTTGCAGCCTGATCTGCACATTGTACTACATTATTGTCTGTATTTGTAACAGATAACAGATGTATTTCAGCACGTTGAGTAATTTAACCGAGGGGAATTCAGTATTTTATTATAAAATAACTGAAAACATATTTCATGTTTAGATTTGTGATTTATCTAAACATTTTATTTCTGAAATAATAAACAAAACTAAATGAATACGTTCTGATATATTTCTCAAACGAAGCGTTGGTCATACTTCGTCTGACAAAGTCTTTGTTACATATACTTATGTGTCAAAATATGACGCAAGACTCTCGCACTATAAGTAAGAAATTACAGCGTGTGTAAGTCTTTAAGTTTTATATTAAGTTGTAGGATAAATATAATCGTTTAAATTTCGTCTTCAAATATAGTTTAACTAGGGCCATAATGACAAAGGTCTCGCAAAAGTGTTGTCTGTTTTTGTTTGTTTACTTGGTTTGTTTTTCGTGTCAAATCATTGTCTATTTTCTACGGCGCTGGTCATTTATTTTCGATATTTAGGTAGTAGTCATTGTTTTAAAAAATGAATATAAATATTATGAGAATGCGTACCTGGACACATAATCTCGGTACAGGGTTTGTATTGAATATCTTCTCCTGGGCAAGGCGCTCCTCCGTGATTAGGCGGCGGGTAGTCACATGTCCGAGTTCTTGTTCTTATTCCATCTTCGCACGTGACTGAGCATACGCTCCATTCCACCCAAAGAGCCCACGCACCTTTCACTATTACAATACGATAAGTGTTACTAACCACAATGATAATAATAAGTCGACAGATTGTACATACGTCAAAAATAAATAGATGATATATTTCGTTTGTGATATTATCATAAAAGCGTTCAACGACATCCATCTATTGTCGTTGTCATCATTGTTTCACTGAGAACCAATGTAGATGAGCTATTCTTAAAGGAATTATGACAATCTCACAAAATGTATGTGGCCCGTACATGTTTGTGTCGTTCAACGATGAATTTTACAACAAAAATAACAGAAGAATCATATCGCTTTAACATCAATCCTATTATACTGCAATCTAAGTGACACAGTTTATTGTGTCATGGAATGTGAATTAACATATGGATAGTATTGTCCACGTGACAACAAACCTCTACACTTGACCCCGGCTGACCCCGGGCAGTCGTCTGTCATCTGCCGTGGACATTCCTGGAGAAATCTTTCATCTCCTTCGCATGATGCAGTCAGGAAGTTAGAGGCGTCTTCTACCTCCTCGTATGAAGAGTTCTTTACAACTGCAATATATCAACATATCAAAACATCCAAGTCCTCCAGAGAAAAGTTACACAAATTATGAGGCTGTAAGTAAGAGAGTGCATTTTGAAAACGGACTTAAAAATAAACATTGAAACGTTATAATATATATAATTTGGTAATTAAATATGATATTACACTAAATGGAACAGTAGCTATGATCTTAATCAAAGGTGTATTTCACGCCAACTCTTACGGATAGGTGTTACAGAATTCGTGTCGTCAAGACGGTCTGGGAGTTCTCATATCGAGACAATGTTATTGACAATTGAAGAAATTCAAAGGAATAAATATGAATAGTCTTGGTTAATGAGAAAAGAGTAAACTCAACAGTACTACCTGTCGAGAAGCATTTTTTACCAATGCAGTATACGATATTCTGTTAAAGGCATTCAACGATACTTTTTGTATGTAATTTTCGCTTCAATGACATAAATATGTACGATATATGTGATTGTATGAAAGTAATATGACAAGTTGGATTTATAGTTACACCTCAGGTCTTGCGCTTCTTTGTTATATCCCTTGACTGACTTAATCAAGAGTATTTGAGTGTATAGGTAACCTACTAATCGAGTAGTACACGTTTGTGTTTTTAAGCTTCCCCAAGATAACAGAAACATATGTTGAACAGATAAGGATTTGACTACAAATGGTCTAGAAAAAGGTGGCATTGATAAGAGATAAACATGTATATAGCCTACTTTCTAGTGACAATAATAGTCAGTAGTATCATACCAGCGAATGCCCCCAGAAATCCATTCTGTCTACACACTATTTCGGCAGATGTCATGTTCCAATTATCCTCACAAATTGGGTAGAACATCCGAGTCATCGAATTCCACATCTCCACACGACCTTCCCCGAATTCAATACCATTGACAAGCCGCACAGCGCCTGTAATAAGAAATGATCGGTGAACTTATTCTGTGTGCTTTGAAACGTGATTAAAATGATCTGATCAGTTTTATAATATTATAAATGCATGTACAGCATTGTCAATTATATGTGAACAAAGGCAATTCATAGTTACACTAAAGGCTCACTTACTTTGGCAAACGATGCCTTCACAGGTACCATACTGGATTGCGTCCCCTTTGCAGTAACGATCCACGCCCGGTACACCATTGTGTAAACACGTTCTTGATCTTTCCTTGGTGCCACGCCCACAAGTGTGGTTAGTGGAGCAATCACTCCACTCTCCCCAGTTATCCCAAACTGTTGAAAACAACAAAACAAAATCATGTACCATCTTACATTTGGAGGTTATTGCAGTTACAGGGACAGCCTTATTATTTGTGATTCCGTAACCAGAAAACCTTCTTCGTTACAGTCCCCTGCTTAGCCAATTTCTCTACGTTGCTTTTCCCTGTCTTGACAGTGTTCTTTATGGTGTTTCCCTGCATCGACTGTCTACATTGTGATTTTCATATAGAAAAAAACTCCCTATACCAAACATTGATGTCCGCCTTCCCCATTCCAGTCCATTATCAAAGCAATATCCCCGTAGCAGTCCCTTAACCAGAATATATTCCCATTACAGCTCTTTATCCAATCACTCTCCACATTGCAGACTATTTCAACTAAATTTAACAAAAATCAAGAAACAAAAAAGAAACTCCGTCGGAGTTCACAGAGCTAGAAATCTTCCAATTATTGCAGTCCCTTACCAAGACAGATTCACCATTACCACATGTCTGAATATTTTCTTCAGATAAGTAACATGTTGAACAGAAGTTCTTAATTCACAACTCTTCCTTGACAGTAGAATCGCATCCGTAGTGCGACGAAAACTAGTGGATTTCCAGATTGAGAACCATACAGGAAAAGAATAAAACAGGTTTTCAGAAACCTTTCAGAGAAGACATCGCGGCCAAGCCACCATTACAGCTATGAAACTTCATAAAATGTTCGATAATATCCTTGTCCATCAAAAGAATGCACCGCTTAAAGAGAACGTCGCGGAATGTGCCAAACAATATCGGACACAAGGAATGGGAAAAGTGAGATTTGGTGTCCGAGTGGGTGAACACCAGAAAGACATGAAAACTAAAGAATGCTGAAATTCACCAGATCGGAGTGGAAACAATCTCAGATCTACAGTGTCAGAACTAACAGATAATGTCAAACAGCACAATCATTTCACTGACTGTTACAATTCTACAGTAATTGTATGCAAAACAACTTTTTAAGCGGCAAGATAAGGAGGCCATCTGGATACGTTGTAGTGAGCCGGTATTTAATGGAGATCGCCAATTCGACCTTTTCACTGTAATGGTAACGCGGTCTCGTCACTTTCCACCTCAGTGAGCATTAGAATATACTTGTCAATAAGTCGTGTGACTATATAACCATCTGTTACACTGTATGCCTCAGAGCAAATACGCTTCACACATTTGTTTGATGACTATGTATATTCACACATGATTTTTTTCATTCCGATATAAGAACTTCTATTCACCCTCCATTACTATCCTTTACCCATACAAATCCCCACAGCATTTCTTTAAACAGACGAACTTCCCATAGCAGTCTTATAACTTAAACACTAATACATTGCGTGTCTAACATTTTACCTTTAGGACTGCACGCCTAGACGTTCCTTCTTATTATGAACGCTTAATACATATTGCAGTCTTACTTGGACATTTCTTAAATGGACAAAATCCAAAGTCTTCTTCAGGCCCAAAACAGTGCCTGGCGTCCACGGACGTGTCGGTCTCCTTGTCCATACATTGGCGAATACGATGTCGTCTGCTGTTTCCACAAGTGGCTGAACACGTGCCCCAATCCGACCAATCAGACCACTCTATAGGGTGAGCTGACAATAGATACAGTGAAATTGATACAAACTTTCTTGTGCAAAAAATACATGTTACTTAAGGTAAATACGTTTTCAAAGGAATGGCATATGACGTTAAACGTCTTGATAAACACCTGATGAAGAGGGTTTGAAATGATAAATTGATTCGATTTAAAGTCTATTAGATAAACAGAGACGATGACTTTTCCTTAGATCTTTTAAGTATACGGAATATGTTGTCCACGGGGCATATCATCTAAAAGAAGCGTAGAGATGCTACAGATAATTTATAGAATACCTCTGACGTCACAGTTGGTACCGGTCCATCCGTCTGCACAGAGACACAGGTATGTCCTTTCTCCACTGATAGTTTGGGTGTCGAGACAACGACCGCCATTCTGACATGGGAAATTTCCACAGGGACCAACGGCTTTCTAGGTTGGAATAAGATCACAACTGACATTTGGGCATACATTCAGTACTAAAATCTGTTTGTATTGTAATAATACATTGAAACATACAATAATGTATTTGACTATAACATTATCTAAAACTGATTTATACTAAGCTGGTCTAGTTGATTGTTAAACAATTGTTACTTGTAAGAGGGGGACAAAACATCACAGGAGGAAACTAAGCACTTCCATGTTAGAATATTGTGTTTGAACTTATCACAGCTCTCTAAAGAAACATGACCAACCGGAAAATAAATCATGTTTGAACCAAAGGAAGGGCACTAGGTTAGTAAGTAAGGTAATAAGATTAGTGAGTTAGGTCGCAAGGATAGTAACTTGGTCACAAGGTTAGTGAGTTAGAGCACAACGTTAGAAAGTTATGACCCAAGGCAAGTAAGTTATGGGACTAAGTTAGTAAGTTAAGACATGAGGTTAGTAAGTTATGGCACAAAGTTTATAAGTTAATGCCTAAGGTCAGTAAGTTAGGGCACAAGGTTAGTAAGTTAGAGTACAAGGTAAATAAGTTATGACACTAAGTTTGGAAACAAGGTTAGTAAGTTAAGACACATAATAAGTACGTTAGGGCTCAAGGTAAAGTAGTTATGGCACTAAGTTAGGGCACAAAGTTAATAAGTTAAAGCACTAAATAGGTAAGTTATGACCGAAGGTAAGTTAGTAAGATCACTTATGCTAGGGCACTAGGATAGCTTATCAGGGTTCTTAACTATCATGTTATGACCCTTACATTTGATCAATTTCATTGGCGGATGAATCTGAAGTAATATAATTGTTTAGTTAAGAAACGGCTTTACTGAAAATGCATTCGTTTCATCTTTTTTTTAAGTGACAAGGTTTACTTGTCGTTATGAACTGTCATTCATTCCTGTATTATTCTGAGGAGTAAATTACGTATCATTCTTTGACCGATTATAAAAGGAAGCTTATATATCGTTATTTGACACTAATATATCCATTTCGTATGGCGATGTGTAGCGTCTTTGTATTAAATATCAAATTGCATTTTGTTCATGCTTTCCATGTCATGAATCCATTCTGATATCAAATACAAGTTATCAGAGTCCTGCCTACAGTAGAATGTGATACAAACGAAATATCATGCCTATACCCAAACAGTAGTAAATAAAGATATCTGTTTACTCTCAAAAGCCGCCGTTTATGAATATTTTATTACGCAGAAGAAAAGTAGATTAAATAATTGGGATTGTTTGTTGAGAGAGGTAAGGGATATATGTGTATATCTGTTTGTTGTTATTTTGATATTATCGATTCGTACCGTGGTTCGTCGGTATTTCTCGTCATTAATTAATCTTATTGCGAACACCTATGTGCGCTCGGTGCGGTTTGTTTGCGTGTGATGCCAATATGGAAAAGAGGGCGTCTAATTGGCTAATCGATAACACACTACGGGGTTTTCACAAAACAACGAAAGGGCTACAAGCGACTGCGCCATAACAGAAAGTCTATTGCAACAGCCTTGAAACTATCATTCTGTTTACAGACAATTAATATAAAGAGAAAATGCATAATACGGCAATTGCTACCACGGGGACACTGTGGTTGTGACATGTTTTTAGAAAATTGAAACTTAGTGGAGATGTAGGAAGATTAAATGTATTTAGTTAAAATTTTCAGTTTGACCCTGTATGACCTTTTAATATTGTTGACCCTGTATGACCTTTTAATATTATTTCTCACCAAAATATTTTTTTAAGGGACCAACTTGGCACATTAACAAATTTGAAATCGATATGATAGACAATTTGTAGTTGATGGCCACGGAGGTCTGTTATATTTCTTGAGGAAATCGTGGATATCTCTAACTACGTCTTATATTACGACTAAGTGAGAATGATTTCACTTGCTTTAAACTATACCACAAGGAAGAATCAAAACAGTCTTAAAATAGAAGTAAAATTCTTTTAAGCCGGTCATTGACACGTTGTTATGAAGCTTCTTGTCAGCTGGAGAAAATGCCAATTTCGTAAACCTGTAGACGTGTAATTTCTGGTGACAGCCCTCCAGAATCAAGGGTGACAGGGTATTTGAAAGGGTTATCATGGAAAAAGACCTTATATCAATCAAATTTTATCGATGGTGATGTTCTACGTTATGTTGGAAATTTATTTGGGCCATATTCGATTGCAAAATTGATTTTTTTTTATATATTTTTAGAACAGATCAATGATGAGGAAGTTTCATGTGATTTTAGCATATTTCACGATCTAAGCAGATCGTGATACAGGTTGACCTGATGAAATTGAGAAATTTGGCTAAAATGGCAATCGTTTTGCTTCGTATGTTACGCTGGCAACTAATGAAAACTTGTCTCAGTATGATCAGTATTGTAGTGTAATTTTAAGCGATTAAAAAAGACATATCAAAACAAACACTGCGGTAGGTAAGAATCACTGAGGAACCCATAAGGCATTGCTGAAGTGCTTTTCTGATAGTTCCACTCTCGGCACACTCTTCATCTATTACTGATAAATAAGAGGGAAAAAAACTTTCCGAATCATTAGAGAGCTAAGGAAGAGAAATAAAGGTGATAATTTCTGTTCAGGGAGAAGAAATGTCTTTCCAAGCAATGCACTTTGTTGATTTGAATATATCGTTAGATCTCATAAAAGCCTATGAAACATGTATCTGTGGACATTACCTGATGTTACCAAATCTTACATGCAGTATTGTATGATATCGATATGTCTTGATAGACATGCTTGTTCCTCACAAGATTAGGAAAATAAAAAGAATCTCACCTATTTCCTCAGACACGTACATGCTATCACGTACAGTGTATCGATACCTTGTGTGTTAACTCAGTATATATATATAGTACATCAGAGAATTAAATTACATTAAGAATTGGTACAGATATACACTTTATGAAAGTGAAGAGCGTGGCAGGTAAACAAGATGGTTCATGAATTATTTACCTATATGTAATACAATAGGGGTTCATCACAACAAAACCATTTATTACATATATATATATATATATATATAGGAATAAATGTATCGCCCGTCAGGCCTGAAAACGTTAGCAGAATACACGTTGATTTTGATTCTTTTCATATGTATATATATTGAATTGACGGTGGAACCTATTTTTTTATTTGACGGAAACTGTGCGCGCGCTTGTCGTAAGACGGAAAGAAAAACTATAGCAAAAGTATTTCATTCACAAGTAATTAGAATTATTCATCTTTGAGTTATTTGGCATCGTGTGTCTATTACGTCATATCTGGTAATGCAGTAGCCTTCCGAACATATCACTGTCCTTCCTGCCCCCACAAGCTTCAACACTGAAAATTATTTTCAATAAAAAGCAATATTGACCTTGACCCTGAAACTAAAAAATGTCAAAGATAATTTGATGCCTTACCAGTGTGTGAAGTTTGATGAGAATCGCTTGAGGAATGAAGGTGCTGTAGCGCTGACAAAATAATATCAATAACTTGAAATTCTCAAAGATATTTTGATGCTCGATATGTGTTTTAATTTTGATGAGAATCTCTCGAGGGATAAAGCAATCTTCTACAGACACGGACGGACAGGCGGACGGGCGGAGAAGAACTCTAGTATCCCCTTCCCCCGGGTTCATTGGTGGGGAACTGGAAATGTCTGACTTTATATTTATTTAATTTTTTTTAAACAACAAAACCCTTTATTTATGACAGAACAAATGCAAATTTTAGTTAGTGGTTTTCATTGTTAAAAGTATATATTTTGATATACAAACTAGAGTTTGTTTTATTTTTCTTTACACGATACAAATGTTGAAGGACAGAAAATTTTTAGCATATTGAAGTTTCGGTTCTTGCCCCACTTGAGCTTTGGAACTATGTTTTTACAGCAAAACGGCAGAAAGATTGAAATGAACAATAATGAATTGTATATAGATAGATATTTCCCCTAATTTCAGTAACAACAACATTATTCGATTTGTTCGAAAGTTAGCCTGTTTGTGACATGTACTCACCGAATCCAAAGAGAACGCATTCCGTAGGTGATACTCAGCGGTCGGCGTACTTGTGTTCTTCAGATCTTGGGGGTACTCGATTTGTGACGCGTCATTTAACTGACACGACCGGATACTGGCGTCAAAGTTAAAGGACTGGCACCGGATGTTGAGGAAGCACTCCATGGCACAGTGTGTCACCTGAAACTTGGTGCTAAACTCTTTGATAACATGATTCACCAATATCTTCCCCGGGAAGGAGAGTTCGTTATTCCGGGTAAATCTGGCCTTGACCACGCCATACTGTGCGGTAGTGGACACTGTCCCCAACCACACGGACACCACGAGACATAGAAGAATAGGTCTCGGTACCATTAGTTACTCTTTTCTCTATTTGTCAGTGGTTCCCTACGTCTACACGACTTGTTGTCTTTACTGTATCTAGCTGTATCGTCAGTATTCGTCTGGTCTAGATCAGCGGGGCCTGATTAATAATGAATGTAATTATCTACCTGTAGAACTTGGGTTTGATCAGATGCCAGTGATTTTAATACTGGACAGGTAAAGTCACAGGTAAGAAACGCAATCGAAGGATGTTAAATAAATGATGAGTTTCTTATTCCGTCAGAAAAGAGTAGTAATAACACGCCTGGGAGTAGAAGTAGGCAGGTAGATTGGTCTTGATGTTAAGAAGCGAGGCAAAGTAATCTCGGAGGGAAAGACAGGGGCAGAAACGGGAGAAAGAAGATAAGATATAGGATATCATAATCAAATTCCTTACCTTACAAAACAATGAATGTAACAGAAAAGTTGAAACAATCCAAATTGTGTTTTTGTTAATCAAGGAATCACTCAATGTACTGTTTCCGGATCACAATATTAACCGGATACTGTTGTCTCCCTCATATAAGGCCCTATTACAGTTGATACTGGTACGATAGTGCGGTACTTGGTCTGATTTGGTGCATAAATGATGCATACAACCACGATATATATGTAAGTCGGTGATAAAACGTACCTTGTCCTATAATTCTCAGAACTGAGATCAATCTTTACCGGACTACCAAATTACCTGGTGATAACAACGAACTGTCTAATGTTAGACACCTTCTACATATAGGGAGTTAGTAATTATGATTAATTATCATTAATTTAATTATATATAATATTTTTTTTTAGAAACAAGATGTAACATAGGGACGAAATCTTTATTTTACAAGATATCTTACATAACTGATGTGTATGAGGTGTATTTAACGTAGGGAAACCTGTACAGAAAATTAAGCGAGAAATCTTGAACAGTTTCGCGTTCATTTTCTATATATATATATGTAGATATCTTGTATGTTAGAAAGGGTATGCGAAATGTGTATATTATAAAAGATATCTTACATATTAAAATGATATTAAGGACCATCATTGTTCCCTGAATAAAGTAGGCTTTCCATAGAATTTACATGAATGACTGTACTGAATTGATAATCGAGTTAAATAATTTCAATAATGGCGAACGCTCTTGCGTGAGCCTGCGAAACAGGATTATGGACTATCGGCATGGGGATAGACTAACTATCAGGTTAATAAACAAGCTTATCTCCCCTTCCTGTAGGACCAAACTTATAAAGCTCAACTAATTTCAAATTTTCGTATTGTACACACAGAAACCAGTCTTCCCTTGCCAGGAATGTCCTTTTGTCCGCTTATTGTCATGTCGGGGTCAGGAGGGGTCATTTACGTCATAAACAATCACGATGCAGACTTCATTGCACAAATGAATTCTGTCGCTTTAATGAGGGGCACGTGAATCAAAAACATTGTTGTATCTGTTTTAGTTTACGGTTGTTAAAGTTGAGTGTGCTGCACTTAGTCATCCATTGGTAGATTGTGGTGGAGACGAAATGACGTTTTCAGTCAACTGTTGCAAAGTGTCTTAATAATCATTGCAAGTGTTCTTTTTTCAATATATTTTTAAAATCTATATTGAGTCAACGATAACAATAACCGCAAAGTGTTTTTTTTTCTCCAAAATCCATATCCTGGATCTGCATCTGGAATAATACCGTAGAATTTGCTTGTATTAGTTTCAACATGACATGACCACGCGCGTAATATTCTGTTTATCACATGACAGGTATAATTTGAAAAATAGATTAAATTCGGTTCACTTAAGATGGATTTCGAATCGGAAGTAAAGTGCTGCGACAAATATGTGACGTTTCTTCGTGTGTCTTTTGATAACGCGTTTCACACGACAGAAAAGTCTAGTTATACTATTAAACGTATGTAAGAACACGTGCATTACCTTTCTAATGTTTTACATGGTTTTTCCGCATTCTGATGCTTGCTGAAATCATATGTGTTCATTAAGATCTTTACCAGAGTCCGTATTTACTTGTAATAAATACAGTACAGTGCCACTCACACTAAGATAAAAAACACAATTTTTTCTTTTCTTTTTTTTGATTTTTTTTTTAAAATTTCAGTCGTGTTGAAAAGTAATCTCTCCAGCTGTGAATCTTGTTTAACACACGCCGCGTGAAAGACTTCATCAACATGGAGAGGTTTGGCACAGGATAACCATTTCAAATGAAAGTGGAGAATGTCAAGCAAAGGCGAAATGTGTGTCCTATTATAACGCTTCAAATCGTCTGGAATTTCCTTAATTGCCTAGACAAAGGCTTGACGTCATCCGACCTAGACCTTGATCATCATATTATAGAAACTGATAGTTTGCTTTTTACTTTATTTTATGTATATTTTAATTTTTCATAATACCAATCAGATTACTCAAAAACAACGGATATTCAGACTCATATACTTTGATCATCAAACATTGATTAACATTATCATACTTTTCATAAACTGTACACGATTTCCAAAACAAATGTGAATTCATGGTTTATGGCTAAAGTTTCACAACTTGTACAATTTTATGGTATCAAATTGTGGTGGTAATATTAATAAATATTTCGCCGAATTATCTGATTTTATGGTATACAAAGTATGAAAGCATCTTACTTCTATCGCATATTCTTGAGAAAATAATTACATTTTTGACGTTTTTTTATTTACTTTATCGATCTTCCTAACGGTTCTTGGAGAATCGAACCCCACATAGAAAACAGAAGTTATATTATCCGGAATGTTGTTACCATGAAGAAACTAAGGATATCCTTTTTAATATTGATATTTTATTTTAACAATTAAACATTTCCTACAAAATAGCTTCTGGAATAATTTTTCATAGGACAACGTCACTTCTAGGAAAGCTTATAAATGAAGATCAGACAGGTTTCTTATCTGGGCGCTATATCGGTGAAAATATTCGTACTCTCTATGACGTAATGGCTGATCCTGAAGATTTAGATATTCCAGGAATGCTCCTTATGGTCGATTTCGGAAAAGCTTTTGATTCTGATTCATGGGATTTTATTGATGACGTTCTTGATTATTTCAATTTTCATCGGGATATAAGAAAATGGGTAAAAATTTTGCATACTAATATTTACTCCTCAATTAATCAGAGAGGTAATATTTCTGCCTCTGCTGACATCGATCGTGGTTGTCGTCAAGACGACCCTATCTCCCCATACATTTTAATTTTGTGCGTTGAAAATTTAATTTTGATTCAATCAGGACTAATAACAATATTTGGAATTATCCATCCTATTGCTAACACTGTAGATAACGAAATTTTAATTCTCATTAAACACTATGTTTATAGGTCAAGATCTCTTAATTTAGATGCTCTTATAAATAAGATTAAGGATCATTTCCAAGTTCAAAAGTACAACATTTCTAGCAAAAACACTATTATGAAAACAAAATTTGAGAATAATTGGAAAAAATGGATGCCCATTTTAGAACTATAGTATGTATGCTAGCAAGTCTGCTCCCAATGACCATGGCCTTGACTTACCAAACTGACTTTAAATCTATTTAATTTCCACAAAATTAGTGCTATTTGCATTTAAGATGATTATAACCCTCCCAACTCTCTCTCTCTCTCTCTCTCTCTCTCTCTCTCTCTCTCTCTCTCTCTCTCTCTCTCTCTCTCTCTCTCTCATACTCAGGGGCCGAAGATCATATATTATATCGACAGGATGCAATTTACAACAAATGATGAAAAGTTAAATAAACGAATTAAAGACAACTTTTTGTAATCAAGCATTTTCATATAGATAAACTTTTGCACAGAAAATAATGGAAATTCATTCATAAATACCATAAAATAAAGACACGGTTAACGTGTTCAAAACCTCAGTATACCGTACAGCACATGGCAGGACCGCATTTATAGAAGCGATTAGGAATGGGCACAAGCGGATCACTCTTTCATGGAGCTTTGTTCATGTGACAACCCATGCTTGACAGCAAAATCACACTTGGCTTCTTTTTGAAGACGTGTTTAACACGCTCTTGTATTCTGTATATATACAACAGGACAAATCTTAATCGCGGTGTTTCAAATCTATTCATTTCAAATATGTTCATTTCAAATGCACTCATTTCAGAATTCCAATGAAAGAAGACATTGAACTAATGTCGGGCGTTGCATTTTGTAAATTGTGGTAATGAATTTCGGTCTTCACCTCCGTTTAACTGATTTTATTTCATTATTTTTACATGCTATCATTTGGTATCACGGGATAGGTAACGTATATAGAACGTATGTGAAAGAAACTCGCAACACCAGAGCATACTAGCTTCAAAATCTCACCATATTTCAGTTTTGTTGCGAAAATATTGCTACGTAGTTGGTTATTTTAAACATGAACACCTCCTAACAGGTTGATTTTATTCGTTGCATTGAATTTTAAGTGAAACAGCACCATGTATGCAAATGACTCTAAAACCACATAGTCGACGTCATGACACCAATATAACAAATACACCAAAGGGAGGATGGTGGGCGTGTCTTTGCTTTAAAAAAGGGGGCCTTTAAACGTTACTATGTCCAAATTTGACAACATATTTAAATGAGTAATTTAAATATGCAAATTAGATTTTCCTGATATTTTCGATTTGCGCTTGATCAGAATCTACTTATTATGTAAATAATCAACACGGACTAGATTAATTCGATTTTAATTTGCTGGTGATTGGAATATCGGGAAAAGCGGACTTACCTGTTACCTTTTCAATTTTTTTAAGGTATGATCATCGCAACGCAGTAAAATGTTACAATGAACTTGTTTATTTTTCATTGACTGATATATGCTTAACGAGTAATCATTGTTTGATTCCAAGATGAGCTTTTGTAACGATTATACATTATTCATAGAAAATGTGAAACGAATACTGCAGGCGTCATATTACAGTGTAAAACACGTTATCTGTCTTACAACATTTAACGTACACTTACAGAAAAAAAT